ACAAAGGGTCTTGATGCTGTGGCTATTTTAAGTTCATGACCTCAAAAGTGTCGGCCTGGGTGCGTCGAGTACGTAAGAGGTATGGATTTTGGGATGAACCTGTCTCGGAAAAAAATCGCAATGCGCGAGAACCATGTGTCTGATTTTCGCAAAACCAATGTCAAAATGACCGGAACATCCTCCGAGCTCGAGGTGTGAAAAAATGCACTGCAAAGATATTTCAGAAAATGTTCGGGGTGCGTTTTGCCTCCAGCTTTTGTATGGTTTGCTTAGGGAGGTTGTTATGCTGTGTCCCTTCCTAACCCTGCAGATGACGGCCATACAGAGAAACTGACCTTCAGCCATGAACCCCGCCATCTTAAGTAGCAATTTTTCTTCGAAGTGCAACAGGGGACGATATAACGGTTAGTTTTCAAAACGAAGTAAGGTTTGACAAAATGTTAACAAATATAACGTAAATGTGTTCTGAAGCCTCTCCCAGGTCAATCGCTGGCAGCGGGCCTAATAAATGACCATCGCTTCTGAGGATTGCCCCTACTGCTGTTCCCACTGGTAAGCCACTCATCCAAAGAACTAACCAGAAATGCACATTTGGCAATTGGAATTGCATATACTAACAGTCTGTGACAACGCATCAATAAACTTTTCTGAAAATGGTGTCTTAATATAGTAAAATCTATCCCGTTTCAAGCAATAAGTTGTTAGAAGAGAATTAATCCGACATAAACATTTTGTTTACTTCAAGTAATTATTTGCAATTTTGAGCATATCTTCACTTTTTAACTTCTGCGTTTTCATTTACTGTCAGTTTATTTTGGAAGTGGAACCTCCAAACAGCAATTGCATTAATATCGACACTTTCTGTTCGGCAAAAATCTTAAACATGAATAACAAAATATTATTCTATTTTGATTTTGCAGTTTGCATCAACAAAGTGTTTGCATTTCTATACATTCAAGAGTTATATCGGATCTTTCTGCGAAATTGAAGCTAGGCTGTATTAAGGAAAAGAAACTTGTGTACAAATATAAATCCTAACCAACACATTACAACGGCAAGGCCTTTAACATTGCAAAATTATATTAACAATGACAAATATCAAGCTAGGTTCATTCGTAACATTGCCATGTTATTCTGGTTGCATTGCTATCACCATCATCATATTTTCTTGGTGTAATATGCAAAATTAATTACGCAATGTCATTACACTCAAGGACTGAAATGTAACTCACTTCGTCTACAAGTCCATTGAAGAAGTATAAGCCATGAAATCATGGTTGTAACAATTTCGATCCTAGGTCCGCCACATTCTGCAGGGCTGAGAGACATTGATTTCCAACGAATCTTGGTCCCGATTTCCATCGAAGTTTGTCGAAGGACTAAAAAATCTTCAGGCTCTGAAAAGTTTTTTTTTTGGTTCTCTTACCCCATACATACGGTGAAAGAAGATAATAGAAATTGATTCATCCGGATCAGTAGAAAACAAGATTAAGTATAGGGCTTGTTAAGTCTCCCGTGCCAATTTATGCGTCGACCTGCTACATGTACAGTCGCAACAGTCACAGTGGACCGACACGAAAATTAGGTTAATTCTGTTTGGTAAAGGCACACAATAAAGACGAAATTCTCGTGTAACAGAAAACATATAAAACTGCTTTCACGATTTATCTTGCACACCGGTTGAACCTAAACCTCCACCCCCACTAGCTCCTTTCGACGCCTTGTCGAACCTATCCTGGATTTCAAGCAAGCTGGTGCGCCTCTTCGTCTCCTTAAACTTGCCCGACCTGGAGACGCTGAAGGCCCGGTTCCTTCCCGGTCTGGATTCTTTGCTCCGGACGCTCACATCTTCCGGCTGTACAGGCTCGCTGACTGACTTGGGCCGGCGCTTCTGCTCAAACGGCGGGGTAGCCCAGTTCTCTGGGGCGGACTGGGGACTGCCCAGGGACGAGATATCATTGTTGTTGCCCCTGTCAAAGACAGGCGAGTACTCCTCGTCGGACGGAGTCTCGGAGACTGACTCCACATTGGCCGAATGGTGTCGCTGCGATTTCGGGGGTGGGTACTGGCGATCCGTGGAGTGATTCGAGGAACTCTTTACCGGGGAATTTTGCTGCGAGGCCTTTGTTCTTTTCCCGTCCCCTCCTGAAAGTTTGAGTTTTAGAGGCATCTTGGAATCGGTAACCTTGTCAAGAGAAAGATCTGGCGAACGTTTTATCGGTCTAGTCAAATCGTTTAATTATCGCTGCATCTCAATCTCAAAGATCCCGTTGTACATGTACATCCCAGAAGGTATATTTGTCAGCTAGCCGAATTGCTTGAAAAATATGCCTACTTCCTGAAAATCTGTTGCCAAGGTAACGCAGACGAAAGCGGTTACTAAAGCATAATCAATGCAGATAGATTTTGTTTAGCCCTTCAAAGGCACATCTTGGGGACACCAAACAGGCAGTGCACGTCCTCTTGGCATAATCATATACTGCGAGTATTTTTCCCCCACAGGGCTTGAAAAATCTGTCGAAATGCCAATATTGTCACATTCAAAATCGCACACAGTAACTGCTCTACTCATGAATAATATTCCTGGAGTGTATCAGTGAAGAAATTCTCCACGTTGCAGGTCCCTCATGGACATTCCTGATCCATCATGCACATTCCCCGGCTTGTGACATCAATCCGATCCAAGCATGTACGGTGGTTCCATTGCGGCGTCCATGTTGTGATGGCGTTGTCTGCGACGCTGATACCTCATCAATGACCGTGACTACACGCACAATGATGCGAATGAGAGCTGAGCGTGTGAAAAATACAGTTATTGTGCTCTTGCCCTCAATCGCAATTGGCTAAAATACCTGAACATCGTCATAAAGCCAGAAGCAAATCGGCCATTTCGAGGGGTCATCTGTCATTTTACAGTGAAGATCTTGATGTACATTACAACAACCATCAAGTTCAAATGCGTGGATGATGGGGTTATGGCGGCCACGGCTCAATGTTTGCTGAATGATTATCGAACAGACCGTTTTAGGTCATCACCAGCTGATACGACAAACACCAGCACAGGTGAACTTGTCTCATCCTGCATAATAGTGTACGTGGAGCGATACTACTGCATTGAGTGCTTTGAATCAAAGTACAGACTCCAGCTAGCCGGCCAACCTGTGTATTGTGCAGCTTATTTGTATTATTAACAATGTATATCATATTGTCGGGTGCTTTTGGGAAAAAGAAAAAAGCTGGCTCATACAGCACCCGAGCGAAGGCCGTATCAACACACAACAATGGTTCACTCCAGACGCAAGCCCGGTACGAGGCAGTGAATATACCGACGTTGTTGTGTGATAGATGTGTATGAACGAACACCTGCGCATGCGTAGTTAAAGAGGTCCCTCAGAAAAACGGTGAAAATCCTGAGTGCGCAAGCGCGATTTGTTAATACAATTTTTTCATGGGAACTGCGTGCACACGTTTCCCAGGGTCAAAGGAGTAACTCGTCTTGTGTTAGTGCTTTCAGTCTATTATTTTGATGCCGACGCAGGCTTTCCTGGTCACGTTACACCCGAGAGAGTGAGAAAATAGTCGGGACTCAGGCGGGGGAAATCACACAGATGCAATTGAATGGTTTCGATTGCAGGTTGATACTAGCAACATGGTGACGGGAATGGTGCTAGAAAGTGCCAAACAATATGGAACTGAAACTTTACAAAGCCGTTTCTGGATTTTAAAATACCAGAATAAAGTATTTTGGGTTTCAAACACTTCAACTTGTGTCTGCCCCGTTTTCATTTTTTTTTACACTTTCAGACGGTGATGAAAGGTAATGACTGCCGGGATTGAACTACTTTTGTGTGATGGATTTTGATTCTTCGTTGTTCTTTTCGCCCGAATGAAGAAGGAATTATCCAATGTATTCAAAGCAAACTAGACTGGTTAAATCGATGAAACTGACAGCCATTGCTCGACCAACCATCTGATATGTGCCTACAGACAATTCCGGTGACCATGGTAACACCATCACTGGTTATTTGCAGTGGCCGCCTTTAATGGCGATAAGCATTGTGACAGTCGCTCCATATAAAACCCAACACGATGATTAACCGCCATTCAAGGGGGCCATATGTGAGTGGATTCGTCTCCAGTTATGCAATCATAACTTTATCTAATAATCAAAAAGGTCAAACTGCCTGAAACTAGTACATGTACCTCTGTCTGCCAACTATTATGCATTATCACCGCTTCATGCGATTTCTTACGCAGCTGCTCTTAAGTAGGTCAGGGTTTCTGAGCGAGTCGAAGGAGGCAATACAACCGTAAGCTGATACGAATGCACCGGTTGAAGTCGCTGCCGGACGGCGGTTCCTCAACACGCGTACATCAAGAGACAATAGATGGATTAGCAGGCTTGAAAAACTCTGTGACCCATTGCAGTTTATATGACGATTGAATACAATCGTCGACTGCAGGTACATTGTCACCAACTCCATGTTTAAATAAACACGCAAGCAGGTTCCGCGGCTAAATGGCGGCCTAAATGTGCAGTTCTTTGGAAAAGAAGAGTATCAAAACTCTGTAAAAATGCAAAACGACGACGTTTAATACCTCACTTTTTTCAGTAGAGACATAATTAGGCCTCCTTTGTCTTGATGTTGGCGATTTAAAATAGCACATAAAGTTAGGGCTCCTTACGGGGAAATATGTATACATGTATCTAGAATTCATGCCTCGAAGGTTATGGCAACAGTAATCTAAAATTCACAAACTAATGTACAAAATTCTACGTCTCAATTTTACGCCAGCAATGTACAACACAACAACGAAAAAACAAAACAAAACATACGCTCGGGCAATTTGAAATCAAATTCTTCTAAATTGATGAAGCATCGCTGATGCGGCGAAACACAATCGGTTCAAGACCGTTTGATTTGCTTATCTAAACGTGAAAACGCACGAAAAATTCAAGGAAACGAATTTGGGTTCAGCGAGAACTGACACTTATGATATTTCCCGTGGTGACAGCATGATCAACGAATATCAGTTGACCAAGGGTTTATTTCAGGATGAGAGTACAATATACTTTGTATACGATTTCCCCAAACCATCCCAAACTTAAGTCAGAGGTATTATTGCATCTCTTGGGTATGCACTATCTCCGACTGCCGTCAATTATTTTATTACTTTTTACGTACGCATCAATTTAACACCAAATCACCATTAGTATTGACGAGTATGTGCCAACCTTGCCGTTCGTGTGTGTATACCCGAGGACAAAACAGGTCCCCTATACAAGGCTGTGTGAACCTTATGTGATCCAAGTCAGGTCCACACAAGGTCCTTCCTCCTTGGGTCAGGGTTATCCGTAGTTAAAGGCGCAAAAGTCAACCAACCATTAACAAAACGAAATAGATTTTGCCGAACCTAGTAATTTGGTACTACAGTGACAGTGTTGAGGGCAAGTGGGATGGCAAGAAATGTACCGTTTACAGTATCACTAAAAAGTATGTTTCTCCAAAAAATGCTCCTTTCAGACAGAACAATGTCTGGCCTCGACTAAAAAGTTAATTTCTCCATCCTCCAACACCGACATCTTTAAACAAAGCCGTAACCCCAAAGAAAGAATTGTCTGTAAGACTGCACAAGACAGAAAACAGCCAATTATGAGGGTTGACCATGGCAACCTGAAGTATCGTAAACAACCAAATTGACACTTTTATTTTCCAAACAGTACTATGAATCCATTTTACTTGACTACATCTCCGAGGCATGTAAAGTTTTTTTGTGACTTGCCGATAGTATTTACTGAATTTAATTTTAAGTTTGATTTATCTATTAAGAATGTCAAAGGAAAACACATTTTACCAAATTTCACGTGGATAGGTCAAGAATGATTTTCAAGTTAATGTACCAATATTCTTTTGATCTGATATATCCATGTGACAAAAAGAACGTTAAAACATAGTTTCTTTTAATCCAGCGAATCCCGCACCTTGCGCAAAACTGCATTGTCTATACTAAAATGAAATAAATTGTATGCATGTTTTTGCTGATAATGAACTTTTTTGTTTCCTCTTCCTGCTACCAAGGAAAAAACAAGTTTTTTAAATCTTTGGAAGAAATTTAACAACTACGGATCTTTTGGTTTTTCACTAAAATTTTCATGGGGTATAATTTCGAAATCATCAGGCCTTACTCACATTTTTCCTCCCCCGCTAGTCATTTTCCCACATACAGCAAATCTTCGAAAGATGGGATAATCATTTGATAAACATGAAAAAAAATCTTCACCAAGCTGCACAATGAAAATATCCGCCACTGTAAGCAAAAATCAAAGTGGTATGTATATTGCACGTTATCTTCTAAATTCCCAAAGCTGGACCGAGTATTGAAAGCATAAAACAATCATACCGTCGAGCCATCTTGTGCTTTTATCTTGAATTCGTCTTCTCACAATTGATATTCCCACAGAGAAGCTTTCTTCACGGAGAGAATATTGCTTTTGTATAATTGGATATTGCCAGTTGCTTGGTCTAACATGCCAAAGGCTAACTTTCCGCATACGCATGTACAATTTGTCCAAATATTTTGACCAAATGTCTGAAGCCAAACAAAAGTAAACTAGTCTTGATAATTCAGAGAAATGTACAGGGAATTCATATTTAAACATGTGTTCCACTTTAGCACCAAAAATATTGTAAACCTTTCATTCAACAGCCTCCTTTTATTTTACAAATTTTTTCTCATAAACTACACTCCACGAATGGAAAAAATGAGTGCTTTTGTTTGTTACTTTTTCTTTCAAATTTATCCACTGCAACAGTGCATTTTTGCTTCACTTGATATTAAGTTACAATGTATAGATTTCCTTCAATGACTTAATACTTGAAATACGTGTGTGTTTACATTCTATATTTGAAATCTCAGATTTCCTTTCCCAAAAGCTTTAAATTGCGCTTTATCAAAAAGTCTAAAGGTTTCCTGTGAAGAAAAAGCTTTGGAAGGAAAAATTAAGGGACAAAACATAAAGACATCCGTCAAGAAAGATAATGAAACCTATATAAGGGCTTGCTTCATCACTGCATTGAATCTCAAGGTCAACACTATACAAATTGATGAAAATTGTTCGCAAAGTAAAAACAAAACTGCCCAACTCACACCTCACTTTTCTTCGACACATACCGGAAACCAAACATAAACTTTGTAATTAAGTACAATATTTGTTCAGTTTCTGCTTTTTCCATTTGAGTAAGCTTGCAAGTACCCAACAGGATAGTCACCATAACTCCATCTCATATACACAAATCGAACAATACAGCAAACTTGTGCAAAATCACAACTTTCCATTGGCATAAATATTTGGCTTATCACACAAACAGCAGCAACCAAGATTTCTTCTGACCCAAGGTAAACCTTCAAGATACTGAAAACATCAGAGGATAGGTTCAGTGTCATCCTCATAATAGGTAAGTGTTTCAATGAAAAGAGGCATATTTAAAATCCAATGGAAACAAGAAGATCGGGGCCCAATTTCGCAGCTCTGCTTAGCACACAATTCCAAGCTAACAAAGGCTCCACGTATTTCAGGGAGACCGTAAGCAGTAAGCAAAGCCAAAGGCATGCTGACCTTGGAAGAAAAATTTACTTCAACTTAGTGATGTAACAATAGAAATTGCTATGTGCAACCACTTGGACAAACACACCAAGCACTGCCATGATATAGTGCTTAAGATCATCATATTTTCTGATAAAGTTAGCATGACTTTCTGCTAACTATTAAGTAGCTCTGTAAAATTGGGCCCAGATGGGGCGGGGGCACTGATACGGACCCTACCCCCAATTTTAAGTTTTGTTTTCATCAAGATAACTGTCTCTTCCTGCCTTTTCATTTTTTGATCGCAACTTATTATGTTATAAATCAAAAGATAGAAATTATCATAATATAACATGCCCCACTCTTGTATTTGGTGTGTCCCTTCTGTTAATGCTGGGTACCCCACCCCCTTGCAAATGCTGGATTTGCCACCAATAATCAGGGTTTGTCACACTAATTTGCGTATTTTTGTTGGGGAGGGTGGATAAATTATACACAGCTGTGGCCTACATTGCTGATACAAATAAATATTAATGTATTTTGGGAGTGGGTGGAGTTGAGAGTGAATGGGAGGCAGGTTGAATCCTCAATTCTCATTCTCTTTCTGCCACACTGCAAAACCTGCTTTTGATTGTTTGAGCAATCTGCACAGGCATGGCTACAAATGAAAAGCACCACTTCCCTCCTGTAACAATGGAACGCCTTTCTGACAAACTCTCCAGCAAACACTCTTTTGTATTGCACTCACTGAACATCACTGCAGTCACAGAGGTCAGTCTGAAAAATCATCCTGTAAACAAACACACAGAGGAAATAAAGTTAGCACCTAAAACAAGGGCAGACTATCATTACCTAAGAATGGGATGATTTGTATTCTCCAGGTCCTTAAATTCATTCAATTGATTTTTGTTAAGTAGCTGTTAAGCATATTTATCATATTTTGTGGACTTCCAAGATAAAAACAAAATTATCTCCCAAGAGATATACCTATTAGAAAATGCACCAACGAACACAGAAAAAATAAATCAGATCATAAATTTTTATGGACAATTACTAGGCTTTGTCAGTTATTAGTTTGGGTTTTTGTTCAGTTTGGGATATCGTCACTCCAAAACTTCAAATTTATCATGTTAAGGACAGGTTATCTTTTTTTTCCTGTTATCACCTGAGAATTCTAAACCATTGAACATGTCGACTGGCTGATTTGCCAAATGATAGCTGATGCGTATTTGACTGTCCATCTGTTGTATGACATACTTTTGAGGTGAGTGTAGCCACTAGACAGAGTGTGTGTGTGTGCATTTGCCGAGTCAACAAAAGATCAAGCTGGGAACACAACAGCAGTGAAATTTGACGATCAAAATTGGCTCTCTGTGTGAACTATCTCACTTGTATCGTAACTGCGGATTTTGTGTAAAAAGACAAATTGAGCACTATAATACTGATGGATGAAAACTTAATGTTTGAGTGTGCATTGACATGATAAGAAACAGGGGAAAATGAAAGACAAAATGGTAAATGATCACTCGATTGCCATCCGTGCACAGCACCCTGCCTGGGAAAAAACCCTTATCATGGTATCCATGTTTACCCGGGACTGTGGTACACGAAAATGCTGACCCCCCATTTTCAATGCGTCACACAACCAATAGAAGAGGACCGGTATCAAGGTGACTATTAATCTAAACAAATAACACTTTGGCCGCGATAATTTATTTCTGTGCTAAGTCACTGGTGAGTACGCAATGAATCTGGGTCTCACCACCATGGGTGCCAATTCACGATAGGATATGGAAATCAGGCGGCAGTATTTCTTGACATTTTTTTGAATGGTGTAAACCTTCAAAATCAATGCATAGGAACATCTTGACAGGAAAAAAAAGAACATGCTGATCACAGATGCAGCAAATTTACTTGAAATAAACTGACAATAGAAGAAATTAGAAAAACACCAATCTGATAATGGATCAGCTATTTGCAAAGACAAAGTTAATCTGTGGATCTAAATATCCATAGAGATACATATAGACTGACCTAAGGAGATACCATTACTACAGTGACACAATACTGAAGCACACTATGACAAGTCACACCACCTGATCAAAGAGGTGTATTCCCAGGCAGGGGCCTCCTCTAAACATGCTACCAATGGTTAAATGGTCCCTAATCATGTATGCAAGATGAGCCTAAATAACTAAATAACTAATTTTTAAAGGCTAAATAACAATTTTTAAAAACCCTGTTTGAACAACCAACTCCTTCAACAATATTTGAGAGGGCTTAAAATATCTCTAACCCCTCACTTAATGCCCTCTAGGTTACAGCGCAAGCAATATACAACTTCTAGATGAAACTACAAACCATTAGGGGCATTTTCAACCAGTTCTCAAGACCCAACACCATACGTTCGTTCACACTTTACCTTAATCCCTCTAACTATCAGATTAATTGTGTGCAGTGATGGCTATAAAAGTGTAGTTGAATTAATCTCACTAATTACGCAAAACGAGCAGGTTGATCAAATAAACGTTCTCCTTCTTTGATAACCTAAATTGTAATCACAAAATAAAAAACGTTAATTTCAAAACCAAAACAAAAAAGAAAAACTAACAATTTCCATGAAAATGTATTAATACACACTGTAAATACTTCATGTACTGCATTGTTTCTAAATTTGTTTCTAAGTTTTTAAAGGGTGTGAAAAACGAACTATAGTATAAAAAATGTATCAAATCCCAAAAAAAAACAACGGTTCAGAGGGCAAACCAAATACAACATGTGACAATGGCACTTGGCCATCCCTGATCATGTTAACAAACTTTACTTCTGGTCTTTGTTGTATTAACTGACGGAGTTGCAGAAAGCTGATTGGGATTAATTCTATATACATGTGTTTTTTTTCTTGATTTACTAGGCTTCACTTTGTGTTTCTTTGGAGTTTGTCTCTCCTACATATCATAATGAGATGCAACACCATTCATCCTGTTCAATTCCCTGTAAGCAAACAGGGAAAGCTCTTTAAATTTGGGCCACACATGAAGTCCTTGAACCATGAAACAGGAAAATAATCTGGGTCCTGTGCTACAAACGTTACATGTACCTCACAGGGATCTCATGAATCATGAAAAAATAATGTAGTGCCTGAAAAATCGATAATTCAACCCTCGTCATATTTCAGGATTCATGCCATTGAACTAGTCTGGTACCATCCATGGCTGTACTAGTCACTTTTGATTTTTTTACAAGTAGTTCATGAAAATTCAGAACAACTCACAAAAACTCAACCCATTTAACCTCAGAAAAAAATACTTACATGTAGTGCATTATTATCATCTTATTATGAAGTGAAAGCACTTGCCAATATATTCCAATGTCACTAAACCCCCTGTGGAAATATCTCTTGCTTGTTTGTGGTAAGTTGAACCTATAGCAACATCAATTTCAACTGATATCATTTCTAATTAAGGATTTGCTGTTTAAGTCAAGAAATTTTGATTAGTCGAAATTAAAAGTGGACATGGGTCCAGATACGCATCACTTGCAATGAACTGGATTCAAAGATTTTTTTCCAATCAACTATTGAGGGTGTAATTCTTCATATAGTTTAATATTATATCAATCATTAATATAAAAAAGAATCATTAAGGTGAAAACAAACACAAACAAAATTTATATATTTAACAGAGGAAATAATCTTTCTTTTTTCCCTTTATACTTGAGGGGGGAAATGAGGTAAAGAGTAAATAGCCTGATTTGACTGCAACAAAATCAGAACAGGTAAGTGGTAGGCTCTGTATTAATGAGATTAAAGTCTGTGGTTTTGTGTACTAGTTGAACATAATGAGCATGCATTACCATCACCTAGTTATCGCATAGTGGCTGTTAACCTTTAAACACCATACCCCACGTACAGCTGGTACAGCGCCACAAACTGCTTATCAATTTTTAAAATCTGCTATTGGTATCAGACTATTGAGATCCATGCGCTTTTACCTCTTGGGAAATATGACTCAGAATTCAAACAAGGCTGGGTACTGCTTTACACGGTGAGAAAACATGTTAGGTTTTGAACTGTCTGTTAGAAATACCAGCACTCAATTTCCATGTGACACCTATCTTCCCATCACAATTTCAATTGAAATTTGTATGACGCACCCTCATATGTTATGCATCATTTTATCACTTGGAGCAGACATTATCTACAAAATGTACCAAGTGTCCTTAGGGTTTTTGATACTGTTTCTCATTAACATAATTATAAATCAAGAGAATACATTTCTCTACATGCAGTTGTTTGAGTGACTACAAGTTCAAACGTTGCCAGCTTAGTGTATGATTGATATGTCACATTACTTAAACCTAAAAGGTGCAGCTGTGTTAACACAGAATAATTTGATGTTAAGCATAGTTATTATGTCGGTGTAAATGACATAGTTTTCTTTTCAAAATGTTAATAATAGAACTAAATTGGTGTAAGGTGAAAACTTACAATGACACCAAACAGCAATGACACTTCTCTCTAATGCACAGTTAGACTTATTTCATGCTTTCCTCAATTCAGGTTCTGCATGTGACATCAAAAAAGCAAATTTTTGCAACCTGTACTTTTGACTCAGCTCAATCATTTCTTGCAGTTTTCCTTGCACTCTAGTAACATTTCATGGAAATTCCAGAATGCCCCTACATGTAGGTGAACCAAATCTAGGATTTATCTGACGAAGCAATTTATTCCAGGATTTTCTTCAAGGGGCAAAAACTTTCAAGCTTTTCCTAAACAGGACCCAAATTTCTGGAGTTTCAAAAACGGTCATAATGTTTAAGACTCCAGGTTCTCTTTGACTGTCCCTGAATTTAAGAACTTCCCTATAAGTACCCTAAAATCCAAAGCTTCCAAAAAGATTCCCCAATTTCTTAGACTTTCTATACTGAATTAAAATTTCAAAGCCCTTCTAAAACACCAAGGCTTCAAGCCATTTCAAAATGCACCTCAAACCCAGGACTTAATATCCTAAACTGGCAGAAAATTGACCAAAATTTCAATACCCCTGAAGAGTTTCAGACACCAAGGTAAATGTGGCCATTCAAGAGTAACAAATACAATGGCCTAGCCAACCCACTCTGCATTTATGCTTGATATTCATGGCCCTGCTAGAGCACACTGGACAAAGGGGACATGTTATCCATAGAATTCTGTCTGCAAGGTCGCAGGTTCTGCTCCAGTGAAAAACTGGCATTATGTAACTACACATTGAACTGATGAAACTTCACAAGGTAAAACTAGGACAATTTCTCAATGTACATTGCCATTTAATATCATAAAAAAATAATGCTTAAAAAGAACAATGCCAAAACTGTGTGTGGTACCACAGTGTGTGAAATTAGGCCAGAAAAGTGGATAGACAAAATGTACAAGCAGTGCGACCAATTTAGCTTTACCAAGGCCTCATGAGAACAACTCTCACAGTTTCAATGTTATGAGCACAAAAAAAAAGGTTAAAACATCCCCAGGGTTCCGCCTTCGGGACCTTGACATTGACATTTCCTTCAAACATTTGTCCATTTACAGCTGCTTTTGATCAGACAATTACCAAAAGTGGTCAGCAGATGTCTGATTTCCAACTGTAAATTTACGGTCTGGTATCGCAGGACCTGAAAAATGATTATAGGATGATTCGCAATAACAATAACAATAATAATGTTAAAACATATTGTTACATTAAAATGGTGCCGGTGATGGCAAACATGGTGGTTTTTGTCAGCAACAAGGACACTGGTGTAACTTGGATAAAATTTCTGAAGAGGAAAACCTTTGGGAACACAAAATTGTAATCTGAAAATCCAAAAAAGTTGTATTATTCATTAATTAAGAACATGAATTTTTCAAAGCTAAGCACAGTCAAGCTTGACAAAGGTTTAATGTTGTGTCAATGCTCCAACTTCATTGCTTGGTGGTTTCGTGGTGGTGCGTAATTATGGTACCAACTTTTCAAGTGAAATAGGAATCAGTTTGACCAGCTCCAGATTGGGTATACATTTCTTCAAACATGCAAATAATCACATAAAAAAATATCCCTTTTACAGCCAGAACCACCACCATGAAAAGCAAATTTTCTGACAAAGCATTAAAATTCAGTTCATGAAACAGAATTTTAGTAAATCTAAAAACAGACAGCTTGTGTAAATGCTTTTGCAAATTTTGCCTTGACATGATGGCTTAAAACAGGCATACTGATAAACCTTTTTGACCGAACAATTATGCACCTGTATGGCCTGACGTTGAATAAAATTTATTACACACCTGTGGTTGGGTATAACTTTTGCATGCATGTGCTCTCAGTCACTAGTACATCATGCATGATTTTCTCCTTTTTGAGATGGCCGCAAGATTTTTAATTTCTGACGGTATTCTTTTTTGTACGATTGTTTTCGTTCATCTTCTTAGGCAGCTGAAGCCATATTTCAATATTCGTTTCAAGTGGGTACTGTTTCATGCTCCAACTAACGTTATATCATGAAATCATCATTTGCATACAGCAATGCATGGTCAGTGTGGTACTTATGGCCATCTATCACAATGCCTAACACTTTTGTATGCAACATTTCAATTGGTTAATATGCCTGGTCCCCAATGCATCTGTTTACATCCCATGTCCCAATCACAGATGCTCTAGCTTAGTAGATTACGATGTCGAGCAGTGTAGTCTACACTCGTAGCCATACAATGTATACTTCCAGCCTTTGAATGAGGATTTTATCAGGTGAGTTAAAATAGTCAAAACCCATATTTTAGGGGGGAGGGGGAAACGTACGGTCTTCTTTTCAACAAATTCCCATATGAAATATATGTAGACAAGTCATACTAGGTGGCAGGTCTGTTCATGTTTGGGTGGGGGCTAAGGCATTCATGGAAGAGGGGAATGTTACTCCCTTTGAAGTTATTACATTTATTCAGCAACATTTATTTATGGACAGGCGATGTTTATTCCTGTCAACATGACATGCAGAGCAACACCAAATCAATTAAGTTATTTAGTATTTGACTGATTGAATATCCCTTCAATTGAATATTCAGATTCCGGTAATTTATTTGGCACAACCTTAATGCAGAATTGTACAGCCTGGGTTCTTTGTAGATGTACTTAAATGTATGAGAATTAAAAAAAATTAATAAACCTGTGTGACATCAAAATATGGCATTTGATACATAATTAAATGTACATTGATAAAACGACAACCCATGGGCATGATTTCTGTGCTTGTAAGTATGTGAGATTACTTGACAGTGGTTATTGTGGCTATGGAAAATGGTAATGTCGCATCACATGGGAAATGTTGGATATTGTACATGTGTACAATGAACAGGTACATGTAATTGCAAAAACAGAACAATATAAGGAAACCAACCTGGGATGCTTTGTGCTTGAAAGTTCAAGTTCGTGTTAAAGCCTTGATGAGTAAAAATGAATGAAAGCGGTTTAAGAGTGAATCTCATCCCAACTGTGTTATCTCTCTCTTTTCCTTTATTGGGGAGCGTTTCTTGAGTACACATACATTGGTGGTTGGTCTCAAGGTAGAATGACCTCCTATAGGCGCTGGTCTCATTTTCCTCTTTCCCACTCACTGGCTTGGATTTTCACTTCTATCGTGTTTTGGTATATTTTGCCTCTGTTTCTTTTATATTGAATGTTTCTATTTCTATTACTGTCATTCTTTTTTATGGATTCTGCCAGTGTCATAAAATAAAATAACAATAAGAATATCTGCCTAACAAACACTAGCAATGCAATTTTGTTCATACAACCCTTGAATTTGCCCATTTGTGTCTTAATTCACCACATTTTCAAGTTTTTTTATAGGGCATTTCGGTTTCCATGGGAATGAATATTTCCATAATCATCAGCATAACAACTGGGAAGAAAATCTCAATATTAGACTGATATGTATGCAAATTAATGCTGGAATTTTTCACATTTTGCTGCCTTGAATTTCCTGTTCTTTGGTGATTCACTGTTGTGTAAGAGTGTGACAATACACCAATGTGCAACCCTGTCTCAAAAATGTTTTCAATTAGCACATTGGGGTTTCACCATCTCAATAGAAAACTCATAAATTATTCAACTAAATAAAAAACTATTCATTTAACCAACCTCAAATGTTAACGCCGGGTGAACCGTCTGCTTGAGCTCCACACCAAACATCTCCTTCCAAGGTGTCTGAATAGCGTTCAGGAGGCAAAGCAAGGAGGTGCTGTTCTCAGTTGAAATGTGCCAGTAAGATTGCTCTGAAGTATCCTAAAAATAAAGCCATGAGTTATAACATGCTTAGTACGTCCTGGGCCCAATTTCAAGGTGCTGCTAAGCACACGATTTTATGCTAATAGAGGCTCGGCATATTTCATGGAGACCGTAAGCAGTAAAAGCAGTAACAAAAGGCATGTTAACTTCAGAGGAAACATTTGCTTAACCTAATGACGTAACAATGGAAACCCCTCTGAACGCCCACGCCATTTTTGTGCTAAGCACAGCGACCATGAAATGTTCACCACAAAATACACTTAATGTTAAGCAAATTTTTGCGCTATGGTTAATGGTAAGCAGCGCCCAAAAATTGGGCTCTTATGTTAAAACTCAGATAGTAAAATCAACAGAACACAGTATTTTTTGTGTGGTGTTATGTTTACGTCCATTGTGAGATGGGCATAAGTATGGGTGATGTCTACTCATGCCAATACCGTAAGAGGCAAGTATGTAGGTTTGCTGACTAGGCGAAAAAGTCATGAACACTAGTAATAAACAAGTCGCAGGTGTCTTCTGAATGCACATTACTGTTAGGGATTCATGTCAGTTGACCTTTGATGATACAACCTGAAAGGTCACAAAGTGGCCATCGTGAACTCACAAATGTTCTTAGTTGAACACAGAGGGAAAGAAACAACCTTTGTTGGTGAGGAACAATCAGTGATTCTCAACAGATAAAAGCTCCAAAATCAGACAAGACACATTCTAAGACATCACACAATGAGAAAACAAGGAAGAGATAACAAAAAGGCTGGTGCCAAATGGAAAAGAGGACACAGCCATTCAACTCTTACACATAAAATTAAACCATCACTCATGAAGTCTTATTGGATGGGTCGCTGTAACAAATATAATTCACTGCAAATCACTTACTTCATGGAAAAACACAATGGAAATGTCTGATGGAGTATCTTCATACAGCTCCTGGAGAACGCAAGAAAACAGTGCATTATGAAAACTATGTTGTGAGTAGAAAAATATTTAATTTTGTACCTACAAGCAGCCACGATAGCCATGTCACTGTTACACTGAAATATTGAAATTAAAGCCTCTGAGCTTGTTTACATAATCATAAAGACAACTTTTTGTGAGGTCCAAATAGTCAAATTCAACTTTATCTTCAAGATGGTGACAAATATCTTGAAAAACAACAAAACAGCAGCAAACACAATATCACCACAACAAAACAAACCTCCCCCCCACAAAAAACAACCTTCTCCTTGCAAAAGCTGGTAATGTACTCACCACTTCACCAACGTCGGTGATCTTGTGATGGTCCTTGAGTGTGAATTGCACCGTTTTGGCCTGCCCTTTCGTCTTGGTCTGTCTCAGTGGCCAAAAATGGTTCTCCTCGGCCAGGTAAAGGTCACTTGGAGTCACTACAATGCTGACTGGCACAAGGTCAATGGCCAATGCTATGGGAATATTGGAAGTGAAAGAGAGTTCAGAGCAAACAGGACACTGAACTGTGCATTGAAGTTTGATCAACTGACTTCAATTAACACTGACTCCCACCAAAACACAATCTGAAGCAGTCGGAAACACTAGCTACAGGACAAACTTGTACAAACTCTATTATTATGTGCTGGACTATAATAAAACATTGCTTAGCAGTTTTACCAAGGATATATTTAGTCAGGAACAAAATTCCTCCAATAAAATCTTGATGACTGACAAAAAGAGTTGCTGTAGTTATGTAATGAACCAGTGAACCAGAAACATACCAAGGGTAGAACGTGTTAAATCAACATGCCTATTACCAGTATACATTGAAAAGTTACCTCAGCTGACATGCAGAGAAGTGAATGCAAACTGCAGTTAAGAATGTGACAAATGATGTGGAACTTAATATAAAAAGTATGAACAAAACAATGTAAGATATGTCTGGCATCACAGAGTACAACATCTTCTCTTGATGCAATGCATGTCTCTATCTGCCCTGAACTGGAACAAGAGAGGGTACATTTTACACAGAAATGGCAGTTGTCTGGCGGAGACTCACCACGAGTATGCATCGCTTTATGCATGTTTTGCAGAGGACACACTAAACGAGAAGAAACGATTTCTGTTTAAATGTGTAACTTAGTCTTCCCACGTGCACTGGGTGCATTCATGGGCTAGGTTGGAAATCTTTTCTTTGCTTGTGAGGGTGCATTTTAACTCAGGGCGGATAGTGACTGAATATTAAAAAAAATTCATCACTAGTAAAAAACAACACTGACTCAACATCATGGAAACGTCCAAGGGCTAAACATTCACGAGCAGCTCTGAAATCCTCTGTTTCTGAAAATGATACACGCTGTTCAGTGTATAGCTCAAAGAAGACAGACAAAACAATGTTGTTAGTACATATCATGCTTAGGTGATAACAGACACTAAATGTTGCGGTGCTGTATAAATGTTAGTTATTAATTCAAGCATAGCACAACAATAAATGGAATACTTTTGGAGGTGTGGCTTGTGTGTTTCCAATCCAGATTCAGTAAACCTTGGTAAAAACAAAAACAAAAAGGAAGACATGGATTTTTATGAACTAGGTTTTTGTCCTATACGATGTGGTTAGTGTCTCGGTCAAGTCCTTCAAAGGCTATCTTGACAATCTATCACACGTCCCATCACAAGTCTGGTTTACAAGCAAACAGGGCAAGAACATTAAGGAGAAATTAAGGAGCAATTTTTTCAATGTTCATTTGAACAGAGCGTGACTTGAGATAGATGACTTGAGACAGACTTGTCAGGACTTCTTTTGCACTTGATATGTCAAGCATGCAGTAACGACTGTGCTGTAAGCTCTACCAACAAAGGAGAAATGGAGGGACATGTAGTCACTGCTCATCTGTCTGCACTGAATAATCAGTGCACGAGTACCCGGGGAAACATCCTTTTCCTGCGAATGACAGTTGGCCAGTACCAAGCCTCTCCTGTCTTATAATGAGGGGACAGATGTGAGAGCCATTTCCTCACCAGTTTGCAAATAACACATACAAGTACGTGTATCTATTATCACTGATTAAGGGTTTGTTGGGTTCCAGGGACGAGCTAAATTGACAGCAATGTTTTGTAATTTACTGGAAGTTACTTACGGAAAAAGTCTGTCTGTTCAGAGCACACAAAAAAACCATTTCCAAAGGCTCACTACGATTCAAAGAATGTACCACTTGGATTCCGTTTTTGAAAGCAAGCAGAATAATGCACTGTTTTAACATAAACTTGATGAAATATTTTACAGAGACACTTGATAAATGATTTGCCAAAAATAAAGCCATAATCTTGAAAATGCCACCCTCCTCACAAAAATTGTGTTTGCAAATCATACATGTACATGTTTAAGAATGAGATTAACATCATGAACAATGTACGAAAACAAACCAAAATTGAAATACAATGAAGTTATTAGACGATGGAAAATAGATTCATTCCTCCCAGTGTTGAGGTCGAAGCAAATGGTTTGAAGCTATCTGAACATCCTTCCTTTTGTATACTCAAATGGCTTCAACCCTAACCTTACTGCAAGTATCATGCTAGTAATATACTAAATCTAATATACTAAACAAAAGAAGACTTATCAATACCCAAATCAACAAAATCCAAGCGATACCTGCCCACTCTTTGATATTGTTTTTGCCAAAAGCAGACATTTTAATTCAATGCCTCACTTCAATTTTCAAGAGAACTCCATGACAAAATTCCTCTATCAATATTTCTGTTAGAGGAGAAGCATGTAATGATCTTGCACAACACTCTTGTAAACACTCCTGCACAAATATATTTGTATTGCGCATTGTGTATTTCACATTGCTCCCCCCAAGAACACCCTTTTTTTACATTTTTAGTGGCAGGGTTTTGGGGTTATTCTGTTTCAATTTGTAATGCAATGCACAGTTTTTGGTCTGCCAGTGTGCATGGTCAGACCTTTCACTCTCTGAGTCACTAAATTTGGAAATGAATTGTGGTTGATGCGTACAAACGTCTCAAGCAGGGGAAATTTTGCATGAGACGATGGCACCAACTTCATCAGTCGTAAGGGAAGCATTTTAAGCATTGTCATTCAGGAAAATGGCTTGTACCACTTTAGTGTGAAATGTGAAACTGAAAAGTTAAATGGTGCATGCATGTAGTTGACATATGACATTATCTGAAGCCAATTTATGTCATGCCTTTCTTCTGGATATAATGAGCTTGTTTGTTGCATCATGCTGCTGGTCAGAGATATTGAGGCAAGCCCTACTCTCCCACAATGAAATTCTTTAGCTCTGTCTGCACTGGTAAAGTATGCACAGCCTACAGATTAACATCCCATTCGAAGAAAAATTACCTGCAGGGTTGACCAGAGAAGGTCTATCAAGCCCCAGACATTGCTTTGAGCAAGCAACCTATCCAACCAACAAAGTGTAGGATGGTTCCCATCCAAGGACTGCTGACAGTTGGCAGTGTGGCAGCTGAGCAAGTCAACCCACAAGTCTTGTCACAAGACCAGCCAATCACAATACCACAATATCAGTCACAAGCGACAGGGTGAACAATGACAAAGTAATGCTTTGTCCAATTCATTTGAAAGGTTTGTGATTTCTTTAAGACAGAATGACTTTTGGAGGACTTGTGACAATTGTAGGAATGTCTGATGTTTGCAAAACTGACATTCAGAGTTGTTTTGATAATCCATCACTTCCTATTCAATTGAGCCAACAGATGAGAGCAGGTGCGTAATTGGGTGCTTTTCCCTATAAATGTTTATTTACCAGACAAACTGACGCATGTCAGAGGTTATTTAAGAGCAGCAATAAGTGTGAGTGCTGTTGGTCCTACTGGTGTGGCCATACACCGACCAGCATAAGTCGAATGACTTTGCCTTTTTTAAATACTGACCTGGCTAATTTCATCTGAGAAACTGACTAGCAAACACACTAAAATGAAACATCTCCTTCCCACCTTTCTTGACATTCTTGGCGGTTTTTTCATAGGCCAGCAAATACAGGCTGATCTCAATTTCCCTCTCGCCTGACGGCTCGTCCATAGACTCGCCAAAGACCTGGCTCATGAGGTTCCTCAGGGTGTTGGGATGATCACGCACCACACCCTTGAAGCGTCGCTTCTTGCCCACTGGGGCTCTCTGGATTGCCTCTGCGGAAGAGTCCAGAAGAAGTTGTTGGTTGGAAATAAAATGATGGAATCAGATGTAACAAAATTAGCCTTTAAGTACATTTTTCTTTATACAGGAATAATATAAGAACGTAATAAATGGCATATATTAAGGGAATAAATGTCTTAAATGTGCATTCATAAATACTTGAGACAGTATTTATTACTTCACATTTATTTCTTCTCAGTGGGCATTATCAAATGTTAATACACAGTCAAGTTGCACATTGTTGAATAGGGAGATTGTCCGAGGTATTTATGAACCGGCAATACTGGTGGTCAAGGTGCTGCATCATCGTCATTGGTCAAGCACTCTTAAACATTCGGTCAACCATCTCACTCCCTGGAGATCACGCACTGCAATGCTGCCATTTCTCATTGCTAATCAAACACAAGGATACCTACCCTTCCAGGTACCCACTTATACCCCTGGGTGGAGAGAGGCAAGTGGGAGTAAAGTGACTTGCCCAAGGTCACAACATTCAACCAGCTGTTGGATTCCAACCCAGACCCTACGTTTGGGAGTAACAAACCCAAACCAATGGGTCACACCCCACCACCTTGTTCAATTACATTGGGCACTTCACTCAAAACTCTCCACTTGGGCCCATCGCTTAATTTAGTATCCTTTCGGATACTGAAATTTCACGGGAGAAAAACATTACTTAGGTCATATTGATTTCTCTTATGCAAGACCTATTAAAGGCCCATTAATCAAAAGTTTTGACTTATACCTCATTTTGGAAGGCTGGGTCAAAAATGTCCTAAAATCTTAATATCGGGCTGCTGCCAACATATGCATTTCACAAAACCAATGTGAAAGAACATGAAGCTCAAGCTGGTCTCCAACTATATTAATAGAACTGTAAGACAGTAATGTCATCCTTTGTTTACAAGCAAGCTTTCTAAGGAGAAAGTATCCCACCTCTCAGACATAGGAAAGTGCACATGTAAACAAACTGTGAAGTCTATTTTGGTAAGATTTCTGTGTCAAACTATTCCTACTTGTTCAAAGAGATTACTCAACACAGCCTTGGTCTTCAGGCTTGATTCCAAGGGGATTAACTAACAGTTAGGATTATTTGGGTCTAAGAAAAAACATGTATATAGCTCTTCATAGTTGCGTTCAATATCATAAAGCAGCTCAGGGAATTCATCTCCCTCATCACAAATCATAACTTAGAAGCAGTGCATTCTTACTTTCGAACTGCGACACAAATGCTTTGCACATCTCTGTGTCCCATATGACAATGGTGTACAAAACGCCCTCATTGTTGAAGTCCAGCTGGAAACTCTGGCTACTGGGTCCCAGGTGCACGTGCATCAGGTCCCTGATGGAGTGCTGGGATCTCTTAGACAGCCAATCAGAGGGCTTCTCACTACATATTAGACAAAAGGATCTAAATCTGTGAGAGGTTATGAAAAGCACAGGCATGGAAGCTTACCATTATGATTAGTGTGTTCTTAAAAGCTTGCACATTTTGCTTTTTACTGGATAAATCTGGTACAGAAAATATACCAGATTTTACGTTTCACAGCTTCAGATCTAACACTTAGGATGACCAAGGCTGTGTGGATAAAACCTCCAGGCATTTTGGGATGTTGAATGCCAAGCACAGCAAAACCAAAGTAAAACACTGCCTCTAATCCTACTGAATCTGAAAATCTGTTTATCTCGGAAACAGACCATCTTTCATCCTGTTACTTGATTTTGTTAGTTTCATCTCACAAATGTCACTGTTGTTAAAGAGGGCTGTCTCAGTGACTCCCAGGGTGCCAGGCCTACATTTGGATACTGGAATCCACCACTGTCACTGCAGTGGGTTAAGATCTTGCAGTGTGCTGGGCAGTAGGAAGTAGGTGAGGCTTCAAAGGTTGCCGAAGGGCAAAAAAGTAGCTGAGAGATATATGCAGGAAGAGCGCCCAGATTTGACAGCTTTACCGAGTAAAAACCTAAAGGGGAGTCAGGGTTGAATGTTTTCAACCTGAAGTCTAAGTTGAAAAACATGAGAAAAAGACTAGCTTTCAGAACCTAGCATTTTACCTTTCCTCTCTGCTGATTCTCATGATGTAGATGTTTTGAGTTGAGACAACCAGAAGACCAGAGAAGTTGGTGGTTTTGCTGAACTGGAAAATTTGACACTGCATAACCACAAACAAAAATACCAAAAAAAAGAGAAAAGAAAAAAAAAACATTTGTAAACCACACCAAGAACTACCGGTAATGAGAACACGCTCAGAGAAAAAACCAGTCTAGAAATGATGTACAAGAAACAAAAAGTCAGGAAAGGCAGGGAAAGAGCTATGGGAAGAAAAATTTCAGATGCTGATGAGACAAGATATACAATGTAGTTAAGATTGGGAGAAAAAATGAGACTAATTTAAATGAAAAAAAAAAGTTAATTACATAAGACAATCAGAATTGCAAAGAGTGAGAAAAACACCTCTTATGTGAAAAGGCAAGCTTAATTATCTACCCAGCATGAATTGGTATTAAAGGCGAACAGAAAACAAAGAATGGTTTTAAAAAGAGATGAGGAACTTTAAATATGCACTCAATACTTCAGGTTCAGTTTAGGGGAGAATTGAAATGATATAAAGAACTGAGTGTCAAAGGCACATACAAGAACTTGGAAACACTCATTTCAGACAGGCATTCTTGAGTAGCCCTGAACCAAACAGAATTAAGAGAAACTCTGGTTGACCCAATTAAATTTGCCTACAGACAAACTTAATACATACATTTGCACTGGGTTCAGCTCATGAAAAGAGCGACGTCTGAAACCAAAGTGCTCAGATGTCATTCCAAGTGCCTTCAAGTGTTGGTCTTTTGCCTGCTAGCATGCTTGGTCGCTCCTAATTGTTTCAGACGTCAAACTTTTGCCATACTTACATCAAAATTTGCTTTTAATGTGGTTTGGAGCGACTTTGGAATGCCTGTCTGAAATGGGAGTTTGAGATTCAAAAGCAGTTTTATGAAACATGGGCTGACCTTTGTCATGCAGGCAAGTTCCTCTTTGCTACCAAACAATGACATGGAGAAGTACAGCTTGAGTCTGTGGTCGACATTGCTGAAATCGCCGTCTTTAGTGTCCATCATGGATTCCTTTCTAGGCACTTTCAAGCTAGCCTCAAATGATGTGTTTAAAGAGCTCTCTTTGCTTGATGAGGAGTTCTGACTAGAGTGCTTGGAAGCTGAGATTTGCCAGCCCTTGTCAGACTTTGAAGGTGTCCCTGAGTTTTCGACCTTGTGGGTAAGCTCATCATCGGTTGAAGTCCTGGTGCTGTTCACTTCTGGCTTGCTGGCAGCATCACTCAGGGCATTGGCAAGGTTGGTTTGCTCAGAGTTCAGGCTGGAGTCAAAGACTGAATCTGAGGTGATGCTTACTGTATCGATGCTGTTGTTGCGGAGGACGGCTATTTCGCTGTCCGTGCTGCCAGCACGTCCCACGCCCACCATGTCATGAGAGGCGGTATCTTGGATACTGTCATTTGAGTCACAGTAACTTACATCCAGTCTCTTGTGGTTTGATTTCTCTGCCGCCAATATGACGATGTCATCCTCACTGCAAGGTCTACTGCCATGGTTTTGAACTTTATCAAAACTGTTGGGAGTGTTACTTTTCTGCTGTTCCGTGGTGGTTACAGAATTGCTCTTGGTCATGGCATTCCAGCTATTTTCTCTGGAGCGATTTGCTTTGTCAGTTTCACTCCTTCCAATGAGTGAGTTTGTGACACTGTCTGTCTCATTTCTTGACGGGGGGTTAGTAGCCCCTCTGGACCTAGGCGTAGTGGCCCCTGAGGCATCCCTGCTGTTCACTCCGTCCAGGATGTCCGGGGGCACCAGCGAGTACTTCTGGCTAAAGGGCGCCATGTTCTCCTGCAGCAACTCGCGCAGCTTCTCGTGCTGGTAAGCCGAGATGTTCTCCAGGGGGTTGGTCTCGTCCCCCCGGCTCATCCTGATGGTCGGGTCAGGCAGGGTGAAGTTGCTTTCACTGCCCGGCGTGTCCTGAGGCGTGTTCCGCAGTGTGTCCTGCCCCAGGTGCACCGACATCTCACTTGTGTCACCTTCAAGTGTCTCCTCAGTGATGTGCCTCTGCCGACCGAACGGGGAATGCAGGACAGAGGTGTTGACCAATGTGGAGGTGCCTGAAGATGACAAGCTGACGGTCGGTCCAGATGTTAGCCCCTGGCTGGGGCTTGAGGACAGGGAGTTGACAGCACTGTGGTATTCAGTAGATGAACCACTCCTGTTTTTCTCAGCTGATGATAAGAACACTGCTTCTTTATCCCTAAAAAAAAATAAAAATTGACAGTCTGTTAAAATATCTCACATATGACAACTCATATATCATCAGCTCACAGACTAAAAAACAACCTAATTAAAGCAAGCAAAAAGACTTTGTTTAAAACTCTTTAAGCTCCATACAGTTCAAAACAATCACTGATATCTTCTGGTGGTGACATAGTACACATTAAAAGAAAAATAAGCCCGCAACTCAAGGTGCACGATAACTTACCAACAGTTGATTCAAAACTAGAAAAAGGTTTTGAATAAGCGCAGAACTTCAAATTGATTAAATGACCAAAGATGGTTAAGTGACAAAAGCCAGATCAGATAAAACTCAACATGACCAAGGACAGAAATTAACAAATTTGCTAACAATCTCAAAAGTAATAAAACTAAAACAGAATCTGCACCTTATGCTATAGATTACCAATGATGTGAGAAAATACACGAATGTGTGAGCCACTGGTGACGAAAAACACCCTTTCTATTAAAATGACTTTAAATCCACTTGGAGTTAATAACCTCCCGTGGTACCAACCTCCCACTTGCAAAATAAACGTTGAATGTAATACACGAAAGTGCACAGAGTTCCTTAGATTTTCCTGCACAGGGAGTTCTGAAGTGCTATAAATTAACTGTATAGTAAAGAATTTCATTCTGAAGTTCTGAAAAGAGAGTAAATAAAGAGTGCAGAAAAGCATGGCTGGGTCTAATTGCTTGCCTTGTGATTACTCTGTAAATTATTTGAAAGTCAAAGTACATTTTGTAGAGGTTCCTTCAACTTTTTGTGAACTGTGTGTTAACTCTATGGGGAAAACTTGATACATGTATGTTAGGTTCATTATCAGTACCTAAGAGACATTCTATGAAACCTATTTGTCTGTGTAGGCTACAGTATAAGTTCTTACTTGACTTTCCAAGGAGAAGATGTTGCCATGGGTCTAAGGTTCATTTCAAGTGAGTTAAGGGACCCAGTTGGCGTGCTTATAGCAGAGGTGTAGTTGCTTGGTGAAACAGGGTTTTCGAGCTCGACAATCAAATCACTGCCACAGGACGGACACACTGCAACCTCATTCATCCAAGTTTCAATGTCTAATTCAAAGGAAAAAAGAAGAAATACCTTTAGGTTTTGGGGGACTGGACAAATTTCTCTGAAAAACCTCCCTTAGCATATTTGCTACTAACCATGAATGCTCCCACATTCTCCACCGTGTAGGAAACCTATGTGAAATTCTTTGTCCTTGAAACTTTAACGGGGCACTACAGGTAAGTCCCATGTTTAAGTAACATTAGTTGGGCTGTACTTTTCTCAAGTTTACAACGTGTTCCCACGGGATTCTGCAGTATCTGGGTTAAGGACAAGCCTCCGCTGTAAACAATAGAATTTTGATGCGAACTGCTTTCCTTTTTTGGATTACAGCTTCATTAGAAACTGAACCTCTTGCAGGTAAAAAAAAGTCCTGAATACTAACCACTGCTGCTCTCCTCTTCCGAGTTGTAACCCCCTCGGAAATTACCCCTCTGGCGGGCCGGGAGTTTCCTCTTCGCCTGGTGCCGGGCAAACTCTTTGGAGCACTTCAGGCACTGGAATATGGCCTTGTGAGTGGCAGCAGCTAGCCGGTTCTCCTCCAGAAATGGCTGAAGGGTCTTGCTCAGGATCTTAAGGGGAGTAGGAACAGAAAGTATTTCTTCCTGTTAACTATGACAAGGCAAATCGACAGAGCTTAGCTGCACACTTAAAGAGTTTCAAAACCCCTTTCACTGTGGCTCTACGGAATAAAAGGACAAAATGATATGTGTTCAATGTCTGCGTAGGACTCTAACATCAAAATAAATTGTTCGAATGACCAATGAACAGATAACATGGAAATTAGTACAAGTTTTCTAGAAACTAAGGAAAATTTTCCAGTAAAATAACAAATAACCAACTAACCTATCCGAGAAAAATAAGCATACCAAGATGAAAAACAGGCAATCAAAATATTCAGCCAGGATTCTAACCAGCGACATTCAAAACTCAGCTCACTCTACCAACAGAACTATTCAATACTTTTGTTCAGGAGCATTAGTCTGGGGCCACGAGACCCAATCACATCGAAGTCATGTATAGAGTCAAGATGCTAGCAACCTACAGCAAGAGTAACAATCTTGGGAAACTTCACTTAGGGGTCAATCCATTTCCGTGCAGTTTCATCTGAAGTTGAGAAAAAGGAAACTGAAACTTCAATGTAAACAGGAAGTTTACACAACAGGCTGCATACCTGGTAACTATCTTCATCCTCTAGAATGTACTCTCGTTTCTGGCGATCTCTCCTGATGTAGTCAAAAGTCAGCTTGACAACCGGCAAGATGTCATTCACTCTGACCTCTTCATTCCAGACAGGCTCATGTGTCTGCTGCATACTGCATTTACGTACAGACCAATCAAGTTGACAGGGTTCAATTTGAAATTGTTCTTTTTTTCTAGACAGTGTTCAAAGGTACCTTTTTTATACCAACACACTAAGCATGTGTTTTCTCTCATGAGTCCTCTCTGAAAAGAGTCAACACAGGCGAAGGCACCAAAATTTAAATAGTGGTAAGCATTTCGAAACATTTTGCTTCCCAAATCATTAGGTTTGCCTGTGTTATTTTGAAATGAAAGAAATGAAAAGGTTTCTGCTTCACTGCTAGTCAACTGAAAGTTGGATGTGAATTTGGCAGAAGTACTTTCAACTTGGGATATACATGTGACCCATGAACAGAATGCACAAAGCTACAAATATTATAAAGGAATCAAGTTGCAGTACAAATTATTGGACTGAAACAGGCACACTTTTATAGCATATGGGCAGATATATACAGCTACACCTTAAAAATCGCAGAAAGAGTTCCAGATCAAAAAACAAATGTTGGCATTTGGAGGGAACCTTTCGGAGGAGAAAGAATGGAATGCAATTTTTATTTCCATATTATAACATTTGGAGGAAATTTTCCAACAAAAAATCCAAAATATTTTGTGGTTTCAGGGTTAAGGCTCTACAGCACCAATTACTCCTTTGAAATAGTCCCACTTTTGTGAAAAAGAGTTTGCGAAGACATCTGAAATGTCAATTTCTTCAGGTATTTCTGTGGAGGGCAATGTCCATTATTTTCACCAACGTTGCAAAAATTGACCAGAGGAATCAAAGTTGTGTCAGAAAGAACCCACCTCTTGAGACACTTCAACTCCAGCCTCTCTGTCACGTGACCATTCAAGTCTCTCTCTTCCAAGTGAGTTTCCCTGACCGTCACAAATAGATGCAGGGGTTTGTCTTGGCTGGGCTCCTGCATGGTGACCAGGAGAGGACTACACAGCTCGTGCTCTAGAGGGGGATAAGGTAAAGGAAAAAAGGTTGAGTAATCAAGATGTTAAAAACTGACGCTTTTAAACTTTCAGAAAACTTTCAAATCTGATCTAATCAGTTGTAACTGTCTCAAAGGAAACGCAACAAGTGATACTTCTTACGTTATCAAGATACATGTTGACAAAAAAACGAAGAAATTCCTATCTTTACAAGACTTTGTACAGTGTTTTTCAATTTTCAATGGCATAAGTGTGAAGTGCAAAATAAGGAAATCAGTTGAACCAGGAAAAGTTGCATGCCTGTTTAGAACTGGTCATATTTGTATATCATATGGTATCACTTTGAACAAATAAAGTAATATAGAGAATCATTCAAGTAGTATGTGCCTAAATTAATGAGACAAACCATTCCCCTCATTACCCAGGATTCAATGATTACCTAGTTCATGGTCTCTGTGCATAAATGTATTTCTCAGGTGTTGGGAAAGCACTATGTGAAAGATAAGGGTAACTTTGGACTAAACACCTGCACCACCATGCATGTATACACATGGTAGATGGCTGATGAGTATGTTCATTAAGGTACCTGTATGGTCATTAAAGGCACAATGCGTGAACAAGACACGGGACACTTTGGTACCAAGTATGGACGCCCCGTGGTGCTGATACACTGCATGTACAGGGGTGATTCCTGAAATTGGGGGTCTATTTTTTCCCTGTATCATCTGACACATGATTTTGTAAGTTCAGAACACATTTTCTAATTTGCAAGAGTGATGAACTAATGCAAATTACCTGCCAAACAAATAGTAATAGTTTGAAATAAATTGCGGTGATATTTTCATGTCAAATGTAACAGGAACACATAAAAAGCCACTTTTGGACCCCTGATTTCTGGAATTACAGACAGACCAGTTTCATGGACCTGCAGCATAAATAAGGACAGAATGCATATATGCCTGCTGGGTCTTCACCTAGGCACCTCACAAACAGCGGTTGCTTTCAAACACTGCCCATTCAATCTCTCTCTTCATTTGGCTGTGTCTAAATTACTTGCCTGTGGCCAGAAATAATGTGAGCATGCGGAAGTCACTGGTTACCAGCTGTACTCTATAATGTTTTAGTATGTAGTGTTTGATGGTAATAATTTGTTTCTTGTAACTAGCTTGTTCTGTTATTCTTCCTTGTAAACTGCTACACACCAGTGGAAAACAGCTTATGGTGAGGTGATTTAACCCTGGATAATCAAGAATAAATAAATAAATGGTCATTTCCCATACCCCACAGCCCACAAATCTGGAAGCCTCTTTGTCGCATTTATTGGGGTACCTGTACACACACAGTCCATGAAGAACAATTACCGATTTGACAATCAGAGAGACTTCAGCTTTATCATCAATTTCAAATATATTTCTGCCACTGTAAGATTACAAACCTTCCTCTTCAGGATTTCCTTCCACCCAGCAGCTTTCGAGTGCAACATCTGACTCTGAGCCCAACCTCTCTAAAAAGATAGAAGGCTTGGAATTTTTCTTCTCCAGGAGAACTGTCTGTCCTGCAACAGCCGATGACCTTGCCTTTTCCCCTGGGGGAGTGAACTCGGTTGTCGGTGCACGTATCACTTTTTCGGTGATGCCCTCGATGCCACTGTCAACACGCCTGCCATTGATGTCCTCGTGGACTACGACGTTGTCGTTGACAGTGCTACCGATGTCGCTTTCGATGCCGCTGCTCCCGGGACCTAAAGAGTTGCTCCTGTTTCCCTCTGCTGGGGCCATCTGCTCCACTATTTTCTCCGCCTTGGACTCACAGGTGTCCACTGACTCTCTGTACGGTGCCTGCAATGCCAGCAACCAGTCTGCCCCGTGGAGCTGGCGCATTTTCTCAAGTTCTTGTTTGGTGTCTTCAATGTCCGAGTCTCGGAGCATGGTAGCTGAGAAGATTGAACATATTGATGAGTTAGTATTTAAGAGCCTTCGCAATGGAATCAAATGTCTTGCATGTGCCTAGATGGACTCTAGTTTAGTACACATTCTGTCACTTTTAATCACTGTAGGATCAAAGGGTGTACTGAGTTCCTACTGATGTGAAGTTTTACATTAATAAACACAAATTACATCTTCCACAGGCTTATCAATGCCATAGCTGTTTCAGCACAAAAGTGCCAAGACAAACTCTCTGATTAATCATTCAGTAGAAGACTGATATTAAGTAAAATAACATGTCACAATATTTAACCCTTAACACTCTTACAGACCAAGAATTCCTAATTTTCTTGGTACCATTAGATATTTGAGTGCCATAATCTAATACTCAGCAGGAGCCAAATGGTTTATTCTTTGAATACTGGTGAGCATCAAACATCAAGCCGCATGCAAAGTAATAGTGGCTGGAATGTGCAATTCTTTATCCAAAAAAAAATGTTTTGGTCTTAAGCAGATCTGAAGGGTATAAAGGGATGAGTAGTTCAGTAACATAGGCAGGGAATTGGTGGATGGGAATCACACTTTTATGGCACAAAAACTTCTAATGTAGCGACAAAAAGGTCATAAAGCATACATTCAGCAATGAAAAAATTTGGCAATGAGCCCTGAGCTGGACCACAAGCAGGCACAATCTTCCTGGCAATGCAGGCTCCTTTGGTAGGAACTGCACTTCACTGGTTCATGAATGACTGTGAAATGCATGTGTTATGGAAACATCGCCAGCAACAAAATGAACACTCCTGGTCAACATGGCTCTTTTCAACTGATGAGGGGGCACTTCTGCTCAAGGCCGTTTGCTGCTGTTTCTGTTTATCTAAACTCAGTGAGTGGTACATACATGTACCGGTACGTGGAATTTTAAATTCTCTCAATCAGATTCTGTTGGGTTAGAGTAATACACTTGGGAGGAGAATTTCAAAGCCTCACCTCTGGTTTTGTTATCGTCCTTCTGTACACCCTGGTCAGGGATGGACACATGCCTCACTTTTGGTGCCCGCTTGCCCTTTGGCCTCTTGCCCTTGTCCATGTCTGTCGATTCATCAAAGCTGGAGACATCATTGAAGAGGTTGGAGCTGGTGGTGTCCAGAGACGACTGGGAGGGGATGCGCAAGACAGGTTTTGCCAAGTTGACTCTGGGTATGGCCTGTTTTAGTACAAAAACACCGTCAAACTTCTTACTTTTTGACTTGATAAATAAGACATCACTACATGTTCGGGCGACAAACAGTAAGCAAGAGGGCAGTTGATTCAAGGCTGAGATAACCATGTCATCTGACTGTCTATGGCATACTTGTACTTTACACAAACTTCTAATTGTATTCTGATGGAATAAGGATGGGCGTAACAATGGAAAAGGAGATTTAATACACTGGCTCTTACTGTTGACCTCACTGACCCTTGACCTACATAAGAGAGTATTATAAAGCACAGGAAGTTCTTAAGGGGAATGTGCTTGCCTTAGCAGACAGATTGAGTGCTACAATGATTACACGTAAGCAGTTGTCAATAATTTAAAAGCAACCAGATACATGTATGGCTGCCCATCCAGTGCACTAGATTTTTACACACTTTTGTTTGGAGCTTTTACAAATTGTACTTCATCTTGCAAGCACTCTACAGATTTCTCAGGATGAAGTGTTCCTAGGAAATGACTAAAAATAGCATTAGCATCCCACATTCAAACAACAAAATACAGCACAAACTCTATTTGTGTCATGCTCAATCAAGTACATTTTTTAAAGAAAAAAAGCAGCACTACAATGAAATCAACAATGAAAGCACTCACAAAAGGACCCAACAGACTTCGCCATAAGCACGCAGTGCTATAGGTCGCATAGCCTATAGTCACAGTGCACAAATCCTTTTTTCACTGTTGTCAAAGTGAACATGCCTAATTGCTTGACAGAGTCAAGAGAAATGAGCTGGCATACAAGTAGACTACAGCGTAATCTGGCAATAACCATTAACATATTATCGAGATGGAATCATTAAAATGAGCCCAGTACATATAATCTCAAATTTCAGATTGTTCACTTTGGCCACCACATTAATTGTTCATACACGTACAAGTTGCATGTTCCGGTAAAGTTGTACACATAACCAAGTACATATTTGCAGCTCTAACTCAAAGCTCCAAACTGTGCTTTCCAAAAAGCAATGCAAATATCAAGCCCTGAAATGTTGTAGAGGACACATACAGTTCAACAAGACGACAGAACAGTCTTTCTACCAGGTGTTGAGTACATACTGATGAATATGAAACTACTACCAGCACAAAAAGCATGAGCATGTGTTAAAAGGGTAATATGAATACCGACTAGATTGATCTCCAGAAAAGAATCCACAAAAGAGTAGAATAGGGCTGCTGCTAGTTCATCACACAAGTGGTTGTATTTATATTAGAACACTTTTGTAAAACACATGGTACCACATAGCTTATTAAAAGGGTCATCAACTTTGATGATTAAGTTAAAACTGCGCCTCATTTCTCGTGTGGGGGCACAAGTAAATATGAGGAAAGAAACGGCAATCTTTATCTGTAGTCGCTTTTCAGAGAAATGTACAGCCACAAAGGCCACAAGCTTATTTCCTTGTGCTTTCAAAGCAATATCTAAGTGATGGCCAAAAACAGGGATGCAACAGTCACTTGAATACCAAGATCACCACTCTGAACCTGGTGCTGATACGAAAACATTGTTGGTTTGCATACACTTACATTCAGATGACAGTCTGTGGTGCAAAGTCTTGCCTCAGGAGTATGACCCTGAATTATTTATTAATAATGACTGATTTGGATACCCTAGAGAATAAATAAACCTTAAAACCTTGACACTTGTCTAAGACAATGCATCCTCCTATTGTGGGACACTTATCCACATATCCGGCTCAGTGAATCACTCGCTTGGGCCGCATAAGTGCGAGAAGAGAGTCAAATTGAATGAAGTCGCGCTTGCACTCGTGAGCGCAGGGGAAGATGTTGCTTCTGTATTCAGCAGCTCTTTAAATGCTGGCCCCCTGAACACATGTACATCATGTTCGGCAAAGCTCTTTTCCTCACAAGAAACCTCACACAGCTATTTGCCATGGGAACCCGCAATAATATTTGATCGCCACTGGGCAAAAGCCAATACTAAAGCAATGTAGCAAACAAGCCAATGTAAATATGCTATTCACAGCCAGCAAGTTTCTGCAGAAAAGCAGGTAGTAAACACAAGTGCCATCAAAAGTACATTCACTAAAATAAATGCATAAATAGACAACTCTATTCCAATGAAGAGAACAAAAATGAGAAAAAGTGCCTGAAAGTCCATAATGTGCACACATGGAGGGTGACTGTTGATCTATTGTTAAATGTCCTGATGAGACAGCAAGGGTTGTTTATTACCTGGCTTTCAGTGCTAGTTAGAGGAACACCGTCTAGATACATCTGTGAGAATGAAGACAGACAAAAACAGACAAACATGGAATAAAAACGGTTCAACCTCACAAAAGCAAAGCCTTGTCTGTCAGTTTGGAAGGCTGTGGGACAAAAAAGCCGACAGTGAGTAATGCCCATGTCACAATGCATACTGAAGTCCCATATGATTTCATGGTTTAAAAAAAAGAAATTAATTTTACGGGTAAATTTGTGTACTGTTGCCGGAGTCAAAGTTTTAAAAGGACAGGTACATGGAGTTACACAAAGGTGCGAATTTAATGTGCAGAAGAAAGGGAAAACCTTTTCAAATCCAACTGCCATGGGCTTCCTAAAACCAAATTAGCTTCAGACAAAAGTTCCAAATGACATGCCCAAAACATAAAAGAAACACAGGAATTACAAACTTTCTTGGATCATGAGTATAAACAACACCTGCAGTTAATTTAAAAAAACAGTGAACATCTGTGACTGGATTCACACAGTGCACAGAATGCACATGGATGCTTCACTCAACTTGTTACTGCCACGCTACGTTTGAAAAACTTTCAAGATTGTCAAGGATGATGGCAGCTTTATAATTAACCTTATGCAGGAATCATTTCAGGTGTTGAGAAAACAGTGGATGGAGATCTCAACCAACTACATTCAAAAAAAAACTTTTACTGCTTCAAAACTGGATTGAAAAGTCCCAATGTTTCTATCTGCAGGTAAACCAGCAGTCCACATAATCCAATCAGACAATCCTGTGAATTTCTCTTTTTAATCTCAGTAACTAGAATAGTAAGCTTTTGAAGATCTTCTTCAGCAACTACAATCACCAATGGTTTACCCCAACTTATAAAATTTAAGTCTTCATTTATTCTGCAAGTCATGAAATTTTGTAACAAGAACCTTTCACAAAACCAGTAGGAATTCGAAAAAGACCTGAATGTTGTATCCTTCAAGCTCTAAAACACAATGGAACAGGAGTTACACAGTTGTCTAAACCTTTTATGAAACATGCTGCCGATTCACAAATGCTGCTAGTTCATGTTGCATCCAAATTAAGAGTATCTGGAAACCAGGTTGAAACTGTTAGTGCATTAGTCAATTTAACCAACAAAGAAAACCCAAATGGTAGTAGAAGGTGCATGCTTGTGACGAACTGTTTGTATGGAATTGGCCATACCTTGCGTGAGGCACCCTCTGGAGGGAACTTGCTGATGACAATTGACCTGTAGGCTGGGTCAAAGGCCAGTGGGTTGCCAAGGAGGTTGACCTATGAGAAGGATGAACATTTGTTGGATGAAAATGATGGAACGTTCATCACAAAGAAAACAAACAGGACCCAAAATAATGGCAAGAGGGCAATAGCATCAGGTCTTTGGTGGGGAAACAAATCGCTACCCACCTCTCTGAGATTGTGCAGGTATCCCAAGGTTCTAAGTTCATTTCCCTCGTACAGGCAGTTGTTGCCCAGATCTAGTTCTAAGAGGCTGCTGTAGTCCTCCAGGCCAGACAGGTTATCCAGGCTGTTGTTTCTGAGCACCAGGGTCTGCAGGTTGGTACGGGCCACCAGGCCAAGGGCTGGCACTCGCTCCAGGTGGTTATAGCCCAGATTTAGGTGGGCCAACTCACTCAGGCTCTGAAAGAAAAGATGCACATTTTGACCATCGTAATCAATACAATCTCTTGAGTCCCTTCAAAACAGAGCCATCAATCACCTAACTTCAATTTGAAAGGGATTTCAAGGATGTGGTAAGTGGTAAAAACTTCACCTCAGCTTTGTCTCATAAGGAGAACTTTATTATCGATAACAGATGTCTCGATGAATTCCACATGTTTTGCACAATTTTGGGGGGTTAGTTTTCTGGTTGTTTGTCCTTACCTCTAGATGGTCTCTGGTGTGTTTGAGCTCGTTGTGGCTGAGGTCTAACATCTTAAGTACAGGAAGCAATCTCTGCAGGATTAAGAAATGAATGTTGCCAAGTACTGCATGTAATGTTTTTATCAATGTACTAATTAAAATACACTGAGAGTTTGCATCAGAGAAAACTTATTTCCTCCAGATTCTCTACAACTGCAACAAACGTTTTCATGGATGAAATAGAGACACGGGACACTAAATATGTCTCACATGATGGACTCAAAACCAAAGTAATGCATGCACCCAACCCACACCTGCTTAAGCTAGTTTATGCTACGTGAGCACAGCAAAGCTGTTAATCTGATGCCAAGGAACGCAACAATGAAACTAAAACTATGGCCATAATTGAATTCTCTCGGCATTTGCTTTCTTATATGCATCATGAAGCAATTCATAAGTGAACATTACCAGTGAATTGTCCAGGTGATCAATGTAGTTATAGCTGAGATTGAGGGTGTGAAGGGATGACCAAGGTGCCTCCGATGCCATATCACCTCCACATGAACACAGCAAAACCTACCAAAGAAAGAGAATGATGTGCTGGTGAACAGAGGATGCGCACGTATTAAAATATTCTCCACAAAGTCCCCCCAAATTCTCAGTCAGAGGGTTCTTGGCACTAGTGGCAATGTCATTATAAGTTTTTGAGCATGGTACAATGTGAAGAGCTAATTTTCAAAATGCAATGTACCCATTTCAATATAATATGTTTCCAAGACTATTAAACATTACAGAATAAAAACAGTACACTGGGTTAACATTGACTTAATTTTTTCGCTATATTGAGTAATTATGCTATGTCCAGCTACACAGAACCCATCTAAAATGACTTTGAGCAGCCAAGAGAGGCCAAGATTCTGAAAGGTACCTAACTAAAGCATGTAAATCAGCTCACTACAGTGCAGAAAAATACCTATCAAATTTTGGCCAGTGTCCCCCACTTTGGACACTTAAAGAATGACCCAAATACATCATGTTATTGTTATCATTATCTGGACAAGAAGTCACATTTTCTGCTCCAGGGCAACTTTTCCCACCTGGAGAGAGGGTACACATCGGGAACAGATGAGGACCCGCAACTGATGGCGTAGGCATCTTAGGCCATTCAGCATGTGGACAGGGACTTTCTTAATCTCCAGCATCGTCAGACTCTTGAATCTTGAGATTTCCACTTGGCCGCGCAGAGTACTGGATGGATGGATCAGCTGCAGAGGTGAAAAACAATAATGGGCTCAAATTAATGAAATGCTTACTAGCAGTGGCATATATCCAGGTTGATATCTAAGTTCAGGACCAATGCTCCCTTTTTCCCGCCCAAAATAATGACTCAACTGCACATTTCTATGTTTTTACCTTAAGAGCAGGTGTCTTCTTGATGTAGCTCAGGAGGAACATCACAGTCTGTGGCCGCCTTCTGTCACATGACTGGTCGTTATCATGTGACCTGCTATCCACCAATGAATCCTCCTCACTCTGCTTGAAGCAGCGGTTGAGGTGGGCCAAGGTGTGTGTCGTCAGGGCAAGGTTGCAGCGCCCATTCAAGATCTTACCACCTAGTCACAGTTCAGCATTATCAAAGTATGCAAGGAATCATGTACAAATCAGTACTCTGTGATTCTTGTGCACTTCACAGCAACCTCAATCATCCAGTTGATATTAGACCAAGCCCAAATTGGACAGTTGGTGGCTTTGGCTTGTGCCATTAGAAACCCACAGTGAGTAACCATAGCCATAGCCTGAAATGCCTGTTTCAGATCCAGCTGCTGAGAGGTATTACGCGTTGAGTGAATTACACAAAAGGATAAGCAGCTGCGTGCAGAGAATGGACCAAGGCATTAAATAACATACTGATACTATTTCCATATTTTTTTCTGTAACATGAAGTACAAGAATTTTCTATGATCAATTGTGACTGGAAGGAAAAGGTAAAGTGTGCACACAGAAAAGGCACTCAGTATGATCAAACTGGAATCATTAAAGATGCAAATAAAATTGTGAACAAGATATCTTGCTCAGTATGGATGTCAAGAATGCTTTCTTATTGAAAAACACAAAACAAACAAAAAACACTGCCACATACATGAACATGTAAGGTTACTCTAATCAATCAAATACACATTTCTACTGTAAAAAACAATACCCACTGTTCTTTTGCAAGAAGACTGTCAGTTCCTGAAGGCTATCCATTGCCTGCATGACTGCGTGCCAAGGCTCCACTCAGTACAGGAAATGAAAGCTATAGCTGCCTGTGATCTGGTCTTATTGTGAGTTACGCAGCATATGCATGATGTGATCTGTTGCACTTCTGCCTGTGGCTGGAAATGAGAACATCACCTTCCGCTTTCCAGGAAGTAAGAAGCCTAAAGGTTTGAGAAAATGTTTGGGACGACTGCCATCCTGAAAACCTTACATCATATGTTGGAACCATTTTAGTGACAAAATCTCGCACACAAAACAAAAAACCTGTAAGTATAAATTCTGTGCTTAAGTAGCTCTATGAAATTGGCCCCTAGGACAAGTAACTTGGACTCTACAGGGTTTTATTTCACATTCGGTAATGATCAGGTGACATCGGAGTCCTAATGTCCGTAACGGTATAGTCAGTAGGTCCCTAATTTCATCACCTTTTGTCAAGTCTGATTTGTTTTCACAGTAAGTGGCGAAACAAAGGACCTGGCTACAATATCCTCATGGACGTCAGGCCTGCAAACACTTTATTACAGAGTGCAGAGTCCTCTTCAACATCAAGGACACCTGGGAATGTTCCTGTGCTGCAGCCCATTACTTGCAAGCATTCTCACTTTTTGGGACCCAAGCACTGTGGGGTTTGTCACCTGCTGCACTCAAAGGAGCACAGCGGAGGACGAACCCCACAGTTTTGGGGGAGGTTATAACACCATGGGATTTGATGTCAAGCTATGATGAACAGATTACTTGCATCTATAATTTTCAAACAAATCTTGACCAAAATGCCTTGGCCAAGCCATATCTCCTTCAATTTGGGAATTTGGGCCTCAGCTACATTTGGTAATGATAATAATGATCTACTAGATATTTATTTATCAGGTCAACAATTTTCTGAAAAATCAGAGCTTTCAGTCAGCAACATTTCCTGATTTTTGATGCGATGGCAGTTATATCACATATCTCGTAGGTCCCAATACTGCAAATGTATCCGGTCAACAACCAGCGTCTTTAAATCAGCATGACTATTTCCGTTGGGGGGAGGGGGGAGAAGGCAAGCAGTGGCTGACGTTGGAATGGCATTATATACATGTACATGTACTGTACCCCCAGAACTGTGGGGTCTAATGTCTGCTCCGCTTCATGGGAGCATGGGGATGTCGGATCCCACAGTTCTGGGGGTATATGTACTATCAGACTGTGCTGCAAAAGTGAGCAAAGTTTGAGTATTGAATCACTGTTTACAGTGTAGCAATCTGCCAATATCACATATGGTCAGTCATTGTTGGTTGTGCAATGAAAATATGATACGTGTAGGGGCCTAACCCTTGGGAATGAGTTCCATATGCATACAACACTACCTGTAATTTTCCCTTAACACACTCAAACTGTCACATCCCAAAAAGTGAAATTTAGCAGAGAAAATACTGAAACATTTACTTAAACAATGTTTAATTTTTATCAGACAAGTGTCATAGGTTTGTACACAGGGGAATCAAGTGTCCGTATTATTATGGACCTCTTTCTCTTCTGGCCACATCAAGCAAGGACCAGATGCATCAACCAAACATGCCAAAGGCATGATCTGATAAGTAAGTCGGACATGACGGGGAAAAATGATCAACTCACATTCAAAACTGAGCAAAGTCGCAACAAATAAAACATATTTCATAACTCACAATTCAAAAAACTTTCAAGAAGATTTCAGCACCTGTCCAGAATGTGATCGCATGTGAAAGAGAGCTACTGTTCACCTCAGTTGTACACACTGTCATGGCTATCACTCAGTGTTATGTCAGTGTCAATGTGTCAGGCCGCATATAGCCTAATGGTGCATGTGTGCAGAAACAACACAGTGTACATGTACATACAGTGCTCCGCGCCGTAAGAAGTTTAGCTACAATCATGCAAATCATCATGTGACTTTTTCTTTTGTTAGATTTGACACAATTTATACTTGCAATGTTTTTAAATAAAATATACTTTTTCAACAAAAGTCTAAAATTAAATGTTGACTTACGAAAATATTATATTTCAATAAAAGCCTTTTGTAACCATTTATTCTACTTTACAAAAACACTAAAACAAAGTAGAATTGGAAACAGGATAAGGATACCCCTTTGACCATTGTATGACGTATTAATATTACGTCACGGGATTCCTCTTTAACCAAAATTCCTTGGTGCCCGGCACTGCCCAGTGGTTTACGGGAACAGAACGCAATCGAAAGCCGTACACCAGCTGTAATGCATGCTCGCGTACGTGCCGTTTCGATACTCACAACACAACGTTAAAAACGTCGTCCACCGGGCCTTGATCAATTCGCTCCTTCTCTGGTTGCATTACAACTTACAATTGAACTGTTTTCAGTTTATCGAGGAGGTGTTATCATTCAAACTAATCGGTATGTAGTCTGACTACTTCAAGAACTCGAAGTCACTAACTCCGTGCACACGGAGTATCACGGAGTTAGTGACTTCGAGTTCTCGAAGTATCTCCATCATGGAAGTGCATGGTCCTGTTACGCCCAACTATAATATAAATCCCTACTATAGTTGGGACTGTGCCAACTGTAGTGCTGTAGCCCAACTATTGTTGACCAATGTTTGAGGGAAATGTCTCAACATTATCCAAGTCAATGTGTCTCACACTTGACACAAATCATCTAAAATGCGGCACCTCATGATCTAGCCCTATGACCAATGACATGACATTTGTAAGCAATATGACTTAGGCACATGCTGGGCACATCATGCTCACAGGACCTCTCTGCAGTAGTTGGGCTGGCCCAACTGTAGCACTCTAGTTAGGATGGGCCCAGCTATAGTTGGGTTCGGCCCAACTATAGTTGGGACTGATGATATAGTTGAGGTGTAACACTTGGACTAGCTCAATTCATAGTTACAATAGGCCAACTGCAGGTACTACAAGTGCATGGGTGACGTGACGGGTATAGAATCCATAGCCTACAGTACAGGATTCCATTCTAAATTCTGAACAGAGAACAAGCATGCTATTAGTTGGCATTGTAACCATCGTGACTGTAAGGAGCAGATACGAAAAATAACTGTTTAGGAGTAGGCCTACACTACAGTCATGACAGTGCAGTGGTAAAAATTGGTTTATGATTATGTGACAGACAAAATGTTCCATTTCATGAGGCGAAGCTGAGTGGAATGGATTATTGAAAATATCATCTGTCACCAAATGAAATTATTCTTGCCATTACACGAATGTGAAACATTCATGTTTTGTTTTATACAGTAGGGCCCCTACCTACATAAATCCTAGGTGGACGATAGTAGATCGCCCAACCATGTTCAAAACACAATTTGTAGAGTCCCAGTTACTTGGACTACATAAGTCCTTGTCATCATTGCCTATTCTGTTTGGAGAAGAAACGTTCCTCGCATATCAATGTCTGCCAGTTAGTGAAACAGCTTTGTGTCTGAAGTGCAACCACCGCATTGGCTGGTTTCTGTCCCCACATTATTTTCCTTTCTTACTGATGCTAAATACATGTAGCATGACCCCATACTGGGAGTGAAATATATGAAATGGAGGCAGGAACCAGTCATATGAAATGCAGTTCTATTCGACGGGTACCGTCGAAGAGAACAAATAATTCAACGTCGTGTGAGCAATGATGTAGGATTTATGCTGGTATTGTATAAAAGTAGAATAACGGGGCTCCTTGTTCTGTCTCTCCAAGCAAATGAGGAGCCCCTTGGCCAAAGTTTTAGTGATGATCAGTTGGTAATGATAGAATATGCCTTTTTTTTTGCTAGATAGGCTTTCAACTTCAAGTGCAGTGGTGTCAGCATTATACTAACTTTGTACTGAATATTTGATTATTTTATTGTTGAATTCAAAGCAGACTGTATCGTATGTGATCTTTCTCTTTCATCAAATATCATGACATAAAAACCTGTCACCAGTTACAAGGTGAATTGTGCAGTTCTTTAACCTTTATTGCTCACTGAAGCCGTGACAAGTGCAATTTTCGGCATGTACGCATTGATGTACATTGTATACAAGCTGAAATGGTGAAATAATGTACATGTATTCAGACTGAGAACAAACAGAAACTTTAAAAAGCCTGTGGAAGTCACCCTATGTTTCTTTCCCTTTTTCACATTGTTCCTTTCAGAGTTGATTCGAGTCTTTTTCAAAGCTTGGTACAAAAATGGCAGGTGCCCCTACATCCACGGTTACACAGCCACCCAACATTGACTATGGGCAGTACCAAGAAACAGCAGTGCAGAAGCTAAAGAGGAAAGCATTAGATGAGCCGTTTGTTCCTCTAGGTAAGCAGCAGAGTTGTACATACATAAAAATGTAGTCCTTTTTCCCAAGTCTCCCAAGGAAACTGAGGTGTGAGACAAAGTGGTAGGTCTAGGAATCAGGCTGAACTATCAAGGCAGTGCTGACTGTAAAGGGTTTTGGGACGAGCAGATGACATTGGTTTCCAAAAGGACTCGGACTGAAGTGCGAGTTCCACTGCAAATATCAGCTGGCACAGCGTTGTACAAACAATTCAGAGTCCTCATAATCAAAGGCACAAGCACTCAGTGTGTGCTGTCTTGTTTTTCAAGCTTAATGCCTCCTTCATTATCTCGTATTTAAATTACACTTGGAAAAGAACAAAACTATAATCACTTGATTAAATGAAAGGACTTCCACTGTGAATTTGACACTGCTAGAATCAAAATTGAAAGACCTGAAAATTAACGATAAATTCTCTGAAATCCAACTCCCTTGTTTTGTAGTATTTCAATCCAAACTCCCTGAGCTCTTTCGTCTAGAATGAAACTTTAGTCCTTCAAAATCCTCCAATTGCCTCAAGGTAAAAATTGAATTTGGAAATCCTCCATTATGTTTTGAATGTGTTCCTTGGAGGAGTAACCACGTCCTCCACCCATCAAGATCCTACAGCAATTCCTTTTGATATTTTAAGGCAGTGTGAATGCTATCTTGGAGCAGTCAGCTGTGTGGATGATTTCAAATATCATACCCGGCCTTTATTTCAGCTTGACTGGGCACGAACGACACCAGGTCTGGCCTTGACCTTGACACTGCATCCCTCAAAAATCAGCCACAAGTTAACCACACTGCCTCAATCCTTCAAAATTTTCCACTTGTCTTGTTATTGGTTGTGATCAAATTTGGTAGAGACCTCAATGACAGAGATTTTGGATAAGTTGGTTTAAATTAGGGGAGGCCAATACTATAGTCATTTGCAAAAGTTTAAGACCACCTTGAATTTTATTGGTATTTATGTCACTGGGCTTGCATTACACTGTCTCACTGAGTGAGTATTTAACATGAATTTACAGGGGTGCATAACATCAGTGTAGTGATATATACTCATTTGAATGAAATTTTTTGCAAAGGCAGGTCTTGTAAGACATTTTGTCTGCAAGGCAGCATGGGTAAAAAAAAGCCAGTCTAAGCAATCAGAAATAAGGGAGAGCACACTGAATATTAGACTGTCAAATCATGGAAATGTAGTAAAAATGTTCAACCAAGGTACCAAGGTTACACATTGAAAATAATCATAAGTTGCCATGATTGATCGGTTTAAGTTTGTTTTTCCTTCAGGTTAATGCATTTTCTATGGGCGGTCCTAAACTTTTGCAAATGACTGTAATAGACGTGATCGCCCCAACAAAAGTTTCCCCAAATTCCAAGGGGCTACGGCAGCTAATGGAGGGAATCTTTACATGGTTAAATGCTAGTCAGCATGTATGGTGTTTGGAGTTGAGCATAACACCCTTGCTAGCATAGATATGTTTTGATATCACTTGTTTCTGAGAAAAAGCATAATGTTCAGCAGAAGGAATGCAAGTTGCTATGTACAGCATTGCAATGGGTGTACATGCATTAGAATGCATGGAATTGGGCAGTGTATGCCCGTTGGTAGTAATTGGCAGTATTCTCTGTGATTTGGAATTAGTTCCATGGAAATGTGGAGACTGCCCTCTGACCTGTAAGCTACACCTGAATTTTTGCTGTCGCTTAGAAACGGGGGAAAAAATACATGTACCAAGGCATACCTGTACATTGTACATGTAACTGTCCTTCAACTGAGTTTGGATGGCATTTGACCACATACCCATTTGTCAGTGCCAAGTTGTTTGTTTGAACAGCCACGGGTTTCCCAATTATGGCAAATCTGAGGAACATGTAGCACAAAGTGCAGTCACTTTTGAGTTTCAAATGTACCTCCATACGAGTACACTGTACTGTACATGTACATTTACATGCAGGGTTTTTCCGCTAACTTGAATACAGTGCTTGTTTTTCTCATGCTCAATCTCATGCTGTGTCTGTAGTGTTCACCGTTTCTTACCAATTTCCTTACAAGGAGCAGCCTACAATTTACAGCACACCATCGCATGTTTGCCTTGAGGAGGTCCCGTTTCACATTTCAGCTTTCTGGCCAGTGCCATGCATAATCATTTAATCATCTGCCGGTATTTGTCTTGGTGTGACATCATACATGCACACGTACATGTACACTGTAGTTGGTTGGTAGCCTGACATTTATTTACACACATGGAAAAAAGAATCCTCACATGACTTTCCTTCTGTGGATATTCCACTGAATTTTGTAATTAATAAAACTAAAAAAGATTTCTTGCATTTAAAACACTTTTACAAGTAGGATTTTTTTAATTTTTAAGGGATGGGGGTGGGTATTTCGTCTGTTCCTCTCCACCTTGTGGTTGATAATCCTAACCCATGTCTCCAAGAATTTCTATGGTGGGGAATACTTTGTGTGGACCTGACTTAGCCCACCCAGGGACTACACACCCTGCATTGTGTGGACCTCTTTTGTTCCCAAGTCCACACAAGCAATGCAAAACAGACAGGAACAATACAAATTGCAAGTTCTCATGCAAAAGGAATCTAGTTTTTTGCATGCATTTTGACAGATTTTCATCAATGCCCTATGTCAAAGAAGTCTCCATGACAATGTCTGATTCAACCACTTTTGAACTGCTCATTTTTAAAATCAAGGTGAAGGTAAAAAAATGGACATTTTCTGTGTTTTTCTCTTGTCAAGGTATCACAGCCTTTGTTGGTGCCCTAGTGTGGGGAGCAGTCTCCTACAAGCACAGGAAGGGAATGTCAACATCCATTTACCTAATGCGGTTACGTGTTGTTGCACAGAGCTGTGTAGTAGGCGCCATGACGATTGGAGCTGCCGTTACTATGTTTAAGAACTCGATGAAGAAAGACTGAAATACCATAAAAATCTGTCCTTTTTTTTTTCCAAATGAAAACCTGTCATATATTTTAAGAAAGTGTCTTAGGTGTAAATATGGTACAGTTTAACTGTTGGGTATTGATATGTTTTTGCTGCACACAAGTTTTACCCTGATTTGACAATTTTCGCTTTGAGACGGGTATTTACAGTTCCAATCCATATATCGTTTTCTTTAATGGAAACTGGAATGTACCTGTATCAAAGAAAAAAGATTTGGGCTTTGTACACAAAATGAAAACATTTATACATGTACCATATCCATGCACATCATATTGCCCATAATTTCATTTCTGTGCAGATTTGCTCATGTTGCAGCATTGAGTCCTTTTCACCTTGACAATACTGTTGTTTTAAGTACATTTCATATCAACTTTAAGTTCTTTCATTTAGGAAAGCTTTTATGCCATGTATAATTAATTGTAGCATTGCGTTTTTAAAATGTCAAATCTATTTTATGAAATTTCTGTCAGTAATAATGAAAAATCCACTTACATGTATGTACATGTATCTTCTTCCTATCCATTGGAAGTCATTATAAATAAAAACAAATACAAAATTTCTGCAAACTGCTTGCTGACTACAATGACCTAAAATACAAATCTAAAAAAATGGAGGGCCTGACGTTTCGATCTTAACAGAATCTTTCTCAAAGGTTAATTGTGTGAACATAATAGTTACGCATGTTTTAGGAGGTTGTGAAAAGTGAAGTCTGTGATTAAACCTGCATACACCTGGAAAGGTCAAGATTTAGAATGCTTTTAGTATGTTCCTGTTTGTAGATCTGTGTTTTTCCCACTGTAGTGTGTTATTGAAGTCAATACACCAAAAATGGAAAGTACAATTTATTTATTATACAAACAGTGCACAGGTAGGTGCTCATGTGCACTGCAGATGGTGTGGGGCCATGGCTTTATTGTGTGTTTTTAGCATTTGTCTCACCAGCTTCTTACATTTAGAGCAACTTAATCAGGATTCCATTCCATCTCACCTTAGCATGTTCTACAAATATGCACATACATGTAGTATAAAATAAATGGCCTCCATGTCCGAGTGAGAGAATGAGGAGAGTGTAGAGTTATTGAATTCCATTCTATATACAAAGGGAAACCATACGGTATATGTAGATGTGTGTCACTAGCCATGCGTTGTTAACAGAATTTGAATTTAGAGGATTTCATACATGTGCATTGTACCTGTAAATTATTGTTGCAGATTTCTTTTCTGTGTACAAGCACTTATGCCATACAAATGTGAGCCAAAGCACTATATATTGTAGCTTAGGGAAAAATTAATTGAGCTTCCTAATTTTTAAAAAATTCCTGTAGCACCTTCAGCACTTTCGTGAAAAAACTGGACAATGTAAGTGTACTTCTCTGCAAATGTCACAGAATTACATGTAGTTTAATCATTACATTTCGGTTATAAGGGAGTTAGGGTCAAAGAATTGGAGCCACAGTTGCCAAAAACTTACTTGAACATGGCCTCCGTAACTGTGAGATTGAGTGGCACAGATACTGCGAATCAGTCAAAAACCATGGGAATTAGTATGTCTTTGTATATGTAGAAACAAATTGGAGATAACGTAAAATCCTAAAATAGTCTGATACCATCCCACTCAACCGTTAACAATTTATATAGCGTATTCAAGGAATAAGATTAAAAAAGGTTCTCTTGGGGATAAGGTCTATTTCAAATGAGAGAGTTATTGTGCCTGACATGCATGAGGTCAGTTACAATAGAGGATTATTTGTTAATATTAGTGTACAGACAATGTCTTCATGTAAAAATGGAAGTTTTTATCAGAAGAAAGGAATTTTAGATTTATATTCTAATTTGGGGTCCAGTATTGCCTCAGGAATGACTGAATTTTGACTGCTTTGGTGGAAATAGGCATATTGTCTGATTTTCTACTAGAAATAGCGCTTGGGTTTATTTAACCTGTGTTTCATGTTTGCTTTGAAATTTCAATTGAAAAAGTATGGTTAATTTGAAAGCTTTTAAAATGATGCATGGTTATGATAATTAGAAAGGGTTTTCAGTCAGCGATATCTGTCTTTTGCAAGACTTAGGTGTGGGTCATGACCAAACTAGCTTATGGGATCATGCCAATTCCTTTCATGGACATGTTTCCTAAATCCTTTCAGAAAATTTCTGTCAATTGCTTATCACAAAAAAGTTAATTCAGTTGCACTGAAAGTGCAAACTGAATTGTGACCCAAACCAACAATTTAAATCCTCAAACTTATGCTTTTAGTGATGACCTTCAACCCTAAACAGTTGTGAATTAAAGGTGGAGGAATCATGATGGCTAAAGAAACAAAATCTTGCTCAGTGGAAATTATTGGGAACCGTCAATGCTTCCCTCACCTTGATCAATTTCTTTGGGACGCCAATCCCATAATGCATATCAATGAAAAATCCTAGTATCTTCTTTGTTATGCAGACAAAACGCTGTCAGGTATTGTAGAGTTTCAGGTCTCATTCTGGTGATCTATGAAGCCAATCATTAGTAGAACCTGCTGGTCACATTTTTGGTACCATTCCTTGTCTCAACTTTTAGTGTCTCTCTTGGGCATGTTTGATCTTTGCATTTGTTTCTCAAATTTTTCTTCTTTTGTTTTAAAACAGTTATTTATGTATGTTCAGTTTTTTATTTGTGTGATTATTTGAAAGTATACAAAGCAATGGACAATTAAGCTGAAAGAGCAATATTTGAGGTGTACAACATTTAATCCCCAAAATGCCTTTGTCCAGTGTTCAGGCAGTTATAGAGGTCAGTTTGCTGCCCAAACAATCAGCTTCACTGGCAAAGATATTTATGCTTCATGCAGCTAGCTTCAGTGAACTAAATTAGTTCAGTATGCAGCATGTTATCTTCAAGTTGAAGTTTTTAGTGCTTTCCCCTGGATAACATTTTGTGTGTTGTGATTGATGAACAGTGTTGAGTATTTAATTGCCACGGAATAAAGACTGAGCCAAGCACATGTAGGGCTGTTTCTGTTCAGGTGAAGATTTTCAACTTATTACAGTCCATATTGGATATTTATACTGCACATCAGTTACGGGTTACTGACTTCTGTTGTATGGCTTAGTTCTCATTCACAGTTCATGTCTGTCAATTTAATCGGAGCACCATCAACCCAGGCCCTACCCCAGTTGACTTTGTGTCTTATCAAGGCACCTATTATGTGGACACAGAATGTCTTCGTTTGTTGTTCTGACACATACAAAACTGTGTGTTTGCTGGATTTGTTAGGTATCAAGCAGCTAATTGTGAAATAAGATAAAGGCAACACACTATGCTCAAATGCTGCAGGGTAATGAAGTTCATAAGTTGAAATTCCAAAGTTAATAATCTGCTGGGTAATGAAGTTCATAAGTTGAAATTCCAAAGTTTAGAAATGGCATTACCCCATGACAAAGATGTAGGAAAAGCAACAAAAGTTCCCTTGTGAACTGCACGACTTGGCCTACTTTTCAGACCACCTTTAGCACAAATACTTGAAATAATTAAAGAAAGAATATTGTTAATCTAAATAGATTTTATGAAATTTAAAGGTTTTCACTAGATTAATTTTACATTTGACATGATAAATAACATGATTTTAAATTAAACATCTGTGCGATGCAATTTTAAAGCAGCTGAGCCGTTGCCAGTACATTTTAAAATGTATTGAATAAAGTATACAAATAGAATCAAGTAACCGGCACTTTCTATGGTCACTTGGTTTGTATTTGTTTAAAATACCCTCTGCAATGAGCAAAGCCAGAACCAGAGCGAGACCTGGTAAGCCAAAATTGTTTGGGGGGAATGTCTTGCCCGAGGATTGAAGCTACATTTCTGTGCTTTTAACATGCTTTTGGAATGAAAGCAAAAGAAATGGACCCCTCCCCCACAAAAAAAAATCTTTCAGCATTTCTCCAAAATAATCTTTTTGGAGACGGGGATCCTTTTGGGGGATGACCCCACTGATGCAACATTTCTCTGTCCCAACACTTTTGGTCCTCACAAAATTGGCGTAATGACAACTGTGTGTTCCCACTGTATGCGTGGGCATGTTTATTTTTTTCTCACAAAAAAATCAAGCAGGCACATTTCTAAATGTCAAATAGTCTTTATTCAACATGGATAAAAATTAATCTTTACAATATAGCTAAATTTAACATGCAATGTAAGCACCATCATATAGACTTTAATGAAGATCTTCAAGGTCCTTGGGGGAAAGGGAGTTACTGGGAAAATTCCCTGATTGTTGTGTCACTTTTACCATTTCACTACATTAAAATAAAATCCATTGATATTAGTGCATATATGAAATGCATTAATCGTTGCATGCACATTATATTATGAAGGGCATGAGATTGACAAAAGTTACATGTACATGTAACTTATGTATGTCGACAACCTGTTCTGGAAAAGACACTGGAGCTTGGCCTGTCAGCAACAAAATGGATAAATAACAGTGGCATAAATACCAGTGGTGTATGTGTTGCTGAATATAATAACTTTGTGGGTGATAAACTTCCTCAGCACAATCCCAAGCTCAGAAACAACACATCTTCACAAAAGAAATTCTCAAAACAATGCTTAAATTTGGATCAAGTATGGAATTAACTAATATAACCAAATTTTTAATCTTGATGGACCAACACACGATTTTCATGTTAATTTACAAATACAAAAAAGGGAGAAGTACCTCAGACAGTTTACAAGTTCCTAACGGTTGACAGCCTACCATGTTGGTTGTGTAACACCCCACCACAAAAATGTCAAAGAGAGCCATGCATGTGCTACATGCACACTTTAAATGGAGATCTGTGTATTTCGTACTGTGCAAGCAAAATCCCCCAGATATGGCCTGGAGTGTTGTTTCACAATACATTGGTAAAATAATGAGCGAAACAGATTTTGTCTAATTGTGACTTATTTCTGACATGAGACTACAGAGATAAACAAGAATGGAGATAACAGCATGCTACTCTAAAGTTCTTCAAGTGAAGTTGAAAACTGGCTTGGGGGCTTAGACACTATATTCCAGCAAACTCTTCTTCCTATATTACACTCAATCCATCATTTTCTTACGTAGAATTGACACTGCACAACTTAAAGCAGATTACAGGTTACTTGTATTGAGCTCCAAAGATCGACCTAATGTTGTGTTCACGTATTTAAAAACCAGCAAATGTGATATATTAGTATAAAAACTGTACAGTATTATGCAACAAAGTCTAAAATAGAGAAATGTTAATTCACTATTGGTATATAAATAAGCATTACTATGTACAAATGAGTTGGACTGCGATAAATGTGCGACTTCCTTTCCAAAGAATAAACATTTCTTTGGGTGTGAGGGGGAACGCAGATCTCATTTCTTGGCTTTGCTTTTAACTTTGAGGGATGGCAATTAACATATTGAAAATAAAATACTGAGAGTGAAATATCCAAGCACAAGAACTTTTATGGTTTTTGACCACAAAGAACCTGGGGAAAGTGAAAGAAAAACAATGATCTCTCTGACCAAGGTTTTGTTGGTTAAGGTTAGGAAATCAAAACATTAGTATAAGTTGGCCATGACAAATGGGTGCTTCTATTTTTTGCAACATCAGTTGAGTGAACACTGGTCAAAGCAAAGTTTGTAGGGCAATGCCAAGGGGCACTAATTAGAAAGGAATTAGACCAATGTGGGAAGACAAATTTGGACGAAAAATGCTTACAAGGTGTGCATGCTGCCATTTCGCCCATCTTCTACAGTGTCCTGTGTCGTATCGTGTTGAATGTTTGGTCCAAGTGAAGAAAAGAACAGTTCACTCTTGCACTATTTATCAGAAGGTCTGTGCCAACAAAGGTCACTAGCTTGTTGCCGTAGTGACTGGCTTATGTTTTACTTGAACACTGATTGATCATGGCTGGCGCAATTTATGGTCTGAAATCACAGAGTATCCAAAAGTCATCAACTTGGGTTCTAGTTCCCTGGCTTTAGAATGTGGAATATGAACTCTTCCGAGTGTGAAAAGGCCAATTTGTGATACAAAGAGGGCGACTCACTGCTCAGTAAAATACTTGTATCTCAAATGAAAATAAGCCACAGCGATGGCAGAAAAACAAGCTGCAAAAGACTGCCTTAAAAAAAATGTTTTCAATACCCAACTCGATTGTTAGCGAACATGGCCAAGCCCCTTGAAGGGGAATTCTGGCTCATGAAAGATCCAGCCGAGCTGAGGCCAAATAACTTCAACTTGGGGCCATAAGGTCACTGGCAATGTGACCCCCCCCAAAAAAGCCAAAGTAAAAATTAAATGAAAGCCCTGCATTCATTTAAACCCGCCCAAACCTGAACATGCCAACCTGTTATCTCGAGGTTCTACCTACGAAGTTACTGGTGGCCTTGGGTACTTCATAGTAAAACTTTTGTATGGACTTGCCTTCTCCTCGGCTGAACACAAGACTTTAGAAGAAAGAAGCACTTTTCATGGAAGGGCTTGGCATTCATTTCAGATGGCACAGTTGCTTTTTCTCTACTTCTTCCCCCAGACTTCCCTCCTGCTGGTCTTCTTAGCATTGCTGTTGGTCTTTGGAGGAGGGGCCGCACCAGCCTGGACGTGACGACCATACAAACTGCAAACCAGAGATCAGACTCAAGGAAGATCAAATGGTAATTGAGCAAAGTCCTGTTCATAGCTTAGCTTTAAAAGAAGTTAAAACATTTCACCACATTTTATGAATTTCGTCCTTTTTCCACAGATGCTAATCACTTTGGAGTAAAATGCTCTACTTCAATGTTACTACAACTTACTGCAACAGCCAGTACATCAGTTTGCCGAAAAGCTGAAGGGCACAAATTGTATTTTCTTTTTAATAACTTTAATTCTTGACAGACACTCGACTCAACTTACAATTTGTAAGTCTCTGATCGTATATACTCAAAGACATGTGACACGCCCACTTGGAACTGACTAGCGATGGGTGGCACCCAGGGGTTGTTCTCCGCCTTCAAGGCTGTGTTGCCACTGTAAAGGTCGAGCTTACCTGATAAATGCATGTTATAAACATATTTACAACCTCGTGCACAAAGGAGAATATACATGCAGTACCCACTGTAATGTTATTAACTTTGGCCAACAAAAGCTGTGGAAACTATGTGAACAAGTGTGAAGCAGTCTTCAAGATCATCTCATGCCATGATAGACTCCAACATACATGTAAGCAGTGCTGTTACGTACATGGACTGATACAGCAACCAGATTAAGAAGCCATTACTATCTTGGCACCGTGCCTGCATGCAGCTAGCACATGTATGCACATACGTTGGATGCTCTCTGAACAAGCTGCTCAGAGTGGAATAGAGGGCATTTTTAGGGTACTCACCACATAGCCGCGCCATGAGGTGCACAAGTATATGCAAATTTGACGCGGAGCACACTGACAATACGTAGTTATTTATTCTGGCTTGTATGGTCTTTGCGTACATGCTTATAACCACATGTCTTTTTTCACCGGTTGGGGGTGCACTTCAGCTCGGGGCAGATAGGGTGTTGTGACTTGCTAAATGCAGCATAGTCCAAGTTTAAGAATGCGCTTACACATAAACGTGATGACACTGCAGTAATGGCCAATTGGATTAGTCTTTATGTAAAGTGCAAAAAAATTTGGTGTGTGCCTGTTACTTCTGACAAGTCACTTTTTAACATTTGCACAAAAGTACATGTGGGGAAATGCACACGATATATATGATGAACAGCCATTATCTTTTATCTTTGGTACATTCTCACTGGCCTCATGTGGTCACATAAAATTTCATAATGATCAAAAGAGGGCACTTAGGGTCAAATAAATTGTCCCGAGCTCTCTGAAAAGGGTGCTTTAAGCCAATGAATTTCTAGAAACTAAATGATAGGTCAATTTGTTCTTTGTTGATTTCATCAGTGAATCACATCGTGAAAAGAAGTATGACTTAATGTCCCTCAAGACATTCTATTTAGAATAAACCTTAGGAAATTGTTTCCCTGCTTAGGACAGGCAGTTATCAAGTACCTGCTTCACAGGTCCACCTGTTTTATGATAAGGGGAGAAATATGCACTTTGCCAGACTTAAACTTTCGTTTAAGACAGGCTGTGGAGAATAAACACAACTAATGGCCGAGCCACAGGTGAGGGTATTATCAGTGTCCATTCTTCTGGGTAACGTTCAAGATTGGCCAAGCATATATTTACACCCATTCATAAATATCATGTGTCAGAAAGTCAAAACAAGTTAAAAGAAACTATAAATGTCAAATTTTATGGAGTTTTTTGCCACAAGCTCTTGATACGTAGGAATGGCTAAACTGTAAAGGTATTATGAGATATGGCGGAACATAGCCAATTCATTGACAAGACTGATGGTCACAAAAATCAACAGATTGAAGCACATTAAAATCAATAAAGATAGCCATACAGACAAATCCAAAGACCATGGTCATGCTATCACTGCTCATTTGCAGTGGCAT